TTTTAGAAAGATTGATTTTTTATTTTATGTGCATTGGTGTTTTGCCTGCATGTTTGTCTGTGTAAGGGTGCCAGATCCCTTGGAACTGGAGTTATAGATAGTTGTGAGCTGCAATGTGGGTGCTGGGAATTGAACTTAGGGCCTCTGGAAGAGCAGCCAATGCTCTTAACCACTGAGCCATCTCTCCAGCCCCAGCAGGTTGCTTTTCTAAGATCAATGAGGTGAACTAAAAAGGTGTTGTATTTAACACTGTGAAGTGGTAGTTAATTTTATACCACTGACATCAAACCAGGACCTTGTACATGCTAGGTAGTGCTCTACCATTAAGCAACATTCCTAAGCTACATGGAGTGGGAAGTCCTCCCTCCCTTCCTCCTGCCCTCCCTCCCTCCCTCCCTTCCATCCTGTTTCTTTTAAGTAATTGCTTTGAGGTAGCTGTAGTTCTGAAGTGCTGCCTTTTTCATGAAGCATGTTTGTAATAAACAATATAACTTAGGTCTATATTATAAACACTTGCCAGGGCTTCCAAGATGGCTTCCTGGGGTAAAGCAAGACAGAGGACCCGGAGGACCTGAGTGTGACATCCAGGGCACACAGAGTGGAAAAAGAGAACTGACTACCTCAAGTTCAGTTGTCTTCTAGCTCCACATGCGCTCGGGGCACACATCAAATAAATAAAAGTGTAACCATTGTTAAGTAGAAACGCTACAGTGTAATCACTGTCATCAGATCTAGAAAGGGTTTTTGTTTACTTAGTGTATGGCACAGGTCTGGAGGTCTGAGGGCAAATGGGAGAGGTGGCTCCCTTCCTCCATTGTGTGGGTCCAGGGTATCAACCTCAGGTCATAAGGCAGAGTCAGCTGCCTTCACCCAGAGCCACTGCGTCAGCCTGACTTAACTTGTTAAGTTGCTATTTACCAGGCTATGTACTGAACCAGGGACCAAAAGAGCAGTTTCTAGTGTTTGGAGACATCTCATGGTGTCTAACTCCGTAGATAAAGTGGTCCATGAGCATACAGAAAAGGACTGGGTGGGGTGCCAAGGAAGACATTTGAAAAGTAGAGTCTGTGAATGAAAAGAAGATAGAACATGGGGACAGGGTTTAGTTCTAACTCACTCGGGAGGCCAGGTCGGGCTTGGAGATAACTCGGGAGATGAAGGGAGAGCTGAGAAGAGAGCTGAAGAGGGAGCCGTGATGACAGCAGCACATGGGGAGGACGTAAACAGTGAACAAAATGAATACTGCTCAAGGCAGCTGCGAAGAAGGGAAGGGAGCACCTGTGAGATACAGTCTGGAATCCCAGATCAGTCTGTTCCAGCCAAACAAGCCGTCTGGAGTGGTGCTGCAGGCCTGAGCCTCAGAGGCTGCTGGAAAGGTGCACACACACCCTCCAGGAGCTTTGAGTAGCAGAAAGTCACCGAGCTAACTGTGTAAAAGGATGATGAATTGTGTCTGGTGTGTTTCCGTAGCACACTTTCATTGTCCTACAAGATTGTGTATTCCGTATGTGTTAAGAACACTATTGACCTTCACAGAAATGAAAGACTCCAAAGCAATAACACTTAGCTGGTAAAACAAGTTTTAAAAATTTGTAAGCACAATGAGTTTAACTAAAGACAAGTTAACAAATTAGTAATAATGTAAAAATGCTGAAGGCCATTTAGAAAATTTCATAATTCAAATGTGTAAAATGTAGCAGATCTGTTCTCAGTTTCCATTCTGTCATATTTCTGCATGTGTTAACATCACAGCGGTGAGAGAAGAGGTGTTGCTGTTTGGCATTTTTGTAGGAGAAACTGTATCACTTATAATGAGATATTCTGTAGATTTGTTTATCGGATTCTTCTTTTTCCAACTTGGATAATCATTTAATTTATTGAAAATAATACATTTTTGAAAAATATTATGAGTATATTTCTGAAAATGTAATATGAAATATTGCAAAGTTGAGAATGTTTCCTGAATTTCTTCAACTTTTTAATTGTAAACCATTTTACAGGAATTCATTTGTACTTGATGTTTTTCTGATGAAGGTGAGTTTTTAGGTGTTTTGAAGCCATATTATTTTCAGGGATATAGTTTGTGTTTTACACTAGCGTGAGTGCTATTTACATGCTGGTTCAGAATATTCTAGTTGATGTTTCTAAAGTGTTTCCTGGAATGTTTCACCGCTTATCTGCTTAGTCCTTGTTAGTGAGTGCAGCTAGCTACTCCACCAACGACTCCCCCAGCTAGTGTGTTAAAATCCTACAGCAATTGCATTATCTAGGTGAATGTTGACCCTAATGTACAAAGAGTGTTTTCACAAGGAGAAATATGAGATAAAGACATTTCTCCTCCACTGATAATCTTTAGCTTAATTTCCTGCAGTTTGCTGAGAACCAGGAAGTAAGAAAAGAAGTTTCTTAGCTTGTTTATGTCTCTTGTTCAAGGGTGTATGTTCATACAGTGCTACCAAAAGTTGGAACAGATGATACACTATTTGGGCAGGTTGTTGAAGTCTGGGGACCAGCAAGAGAGAAACGATAAATCTGATGACACAATTCTGAAAGATTTATTGTACAGTCAAAATTCCTGTCATCACTCTAGGCTATTTGTAGTCTCCATTTAATAAATTTGATTGAACTCAACTAATATCGAAAGAAACAGTAGGCAGATACTCAAATACTTGCACACATTACATTTTTAAAACCTTAATTTCTAGCTTTGTGAAGTGTTTGCTCCTAAAGTGAGATTATGTATGGTATTAGTATGACAAAGTAATGTGTTCCCTCCCTCCACATCTTGGCCTCTCCTCAGTCTTGACCACGTAGAGATGGCCTGCAAGGCCAGCTTTGCAGGCAAGTCTGTCACTCAGGTTGCCATTCTGGATCTGTTTATGCATTCTTGTTGCTTCTCTGAAACATGCATCCCAGCCACCTCCCACCCCAGCCAAAACTTACATGATTGATTGAATGAATGAATGAATGAATGAATGAATTCACTCAACAGATAACTTATCCAGTAACCAGGACCTGAGGGCACACTGGTGAACAAGAGATGACCACTGTTCTTGGTTAATTATATTCTATAAGGGGGCATGAATAGTTTTTTGTTTGTTTTTTTTTCTGTTTTAAATATACTCATGGTAATTTTAGGTATAGCAAATTCAATGGCTGGAACTAACAGACTTTGGGGTAAAGTGATTGTCTCCATCCCAAAAAAAGTGTTTTGGTTTTGCATCTGTGAGCGGTAAGCATGCTCGGGGCCTCGCCTGTGCTAGTGGTTAGGCTGTCCTTGTACTTGAAGGCTGAGAAGAACAGGATTGGGCTTCAGGAAAGAACTCATTCTAGCAAGTGCAAAGAAAAGAGTGGCGGGGGAGTTATAACCACCCACCGATGTGTTAAAGTGAGTGCTGTTTGTGACCTAGGAGCTGAAGAGGCTTGTGCAGTTGTCTAAATTGTGGTGGTGATGAGTGTAAGGAGTGCATTGATGGCACCTGTGACTCGTAATTGGATAGGGAATAAGGGAAGAGGTGGTCTCGCGTGTGACTCTAGCCTTGACTTAGAGTAGAAATTGAAGGGCTCGGTATTGAATATTAAAAGATCCCTGTTAGCCATGGAAAGAAAGATGTTAAGTAGGCACATGGGATAGAGCTTGGAAATCTTAGCATCAATATGAGGATTTCTTATGAAGTCACGAGAAGGGAATCATGGAGAAGAAAGGCCTTTGGTTCATACTCCTTGAGAGGTGGTTGATAGGAAGATTTAGGTCTGAGTAGTGAGGGATGGTAATCTGACGGTGTATGTTGTGCTTGTCTTTAATCAGAAACAAACTTTATTTGTGTTCATTTGCTTAATGGCAGTGAAGGTTTGTAGTTACCACTGTGGTCAGTGCTGATTTGGCCTGAACTCAATAGTTTTGATGGACAGCAGTTAAATTTGTATGGCTGTCTGATGTAATTTAGCATCCATTTATTAATTTTCAGAATAACCAAATGTTTTCCTTCACTCTTTGTTTTGGGCACCATACAGTTCTCTTTAAATGGTAGAAGTGGAAAAAATATGTTAAAGAACTCTTAACCCAGTATGTTTAAAGAAAAGGCTGGGAAGGTAGGCATCAAAGTATTAGCGGTAATCATTCCTAAGAAATAACATATTTGGTTTTATTTTATTTAAAAATGCTGTTCACATTAGGGTTATATTTGTGATCTCACAAAAGCAAAATACAGTTGCCAATAAATAAATAAGTATTCTTTTTTAAAAAGTAAAGCATAAGCCAGGCGTGGTGGTGTATGCTGTTAATACAGATATTTGGGAGGCTAAGGAAAGAGTGTAAATTTGAGGCCAACCTGACTCAGGCATTCCCAAAAGTAAAATACATACTAATTATCTTTTAGAAGTTAATTTTACTCTGCAATTTAGTAAGTAATGATAATACATTTATGATTTTATATTGGACACATTTTACATTTTGCTTTTTAGATTATCTAATCTTTAGAGTATTAATGGAAAGATAAATCTAAAATATTACTCAACTCAATTAGGAAGACTAATACTTAAAGATTATGATTCTACATATCTGGAAGTTACCCTTTCTCAGAGGCCTACCCAGTCCTTTGTTTAGATGATGCAGGGCAAATTCCATATGGGGTCCAAATGGAACACACAGGAGCAGCATACTCAAGCCAGTCAAAGGTCAGTTGACTGCCTGTAAAAGTGACATCCTCTCTTTGGCCTTCAGGTAGCTAGGTGTAATCTGGTGAAGGCATTTAAAAAGACATGAAGAATGTGCCTTTTGGAAACTGTTGACTGCATGTTTCACAAAACCTAATGCTCTATTTTTTACTAAAATAAATTACGATTTTCTGAAATCTGACCTTTAGTTGAATTTGAACTTGTAGATTTTATAGTAAGCTATTAAAATGTGTCTTTACAATTTTTATCTTGCATAGAGCTTTTAAATTTATGTATTATAAATAATATTCAATGTAAAATAGCATTTTCTTTTGTTCTGTTAGCTTGCATTGAAAGGCTCGAGCTACAGTGGACTACTTGAACGACATCATATTCACACCAAAAATGTAGAACATATAGTAGATAGTTTACGGTAAGTTTGTGGGCTGGGGTCTTAGATGGGATTTTATAGTCAGGATTTCTGATTTTATTTTGTACTAGCAGCTAATTCTTAGAGTTTTAGTAAAATTTGCCACATTTCCAGAAGGTTATATTGAGGTTAAAAGACTTGACTTTATCATTTTCTAAGGAAATTTTTATTTTACTCTTAAAAGTCAGGTATTTCCAGTAAATCTGTCTACTAGAGACGTGCTGTTACCACAAGTAGTTCCCTACACATCTCTGTGTAAAGTGTTATTTCTTGGACCAGAGTCATAGATACAAGTGTTCATGAACGTATTCCTTGTGTCTAAAAATGACTATTGTAGAGTCTTCAATTTGTAGCTGAATAAGTTTAAGTGACTATAAAAGAGGAATCTAAGAACATGATAATTACCAAGTACTTTTAGTCTCTGCCACCCAATATTTGTTGAATTTCAGGCAATAGCTGTTTGGTTTTATAAGTATTTATAAGTATTATATGTAATGAACATAAAACATTTTTACATTACATTTCAGCTTCAGAAACAGAGAAAAGTAAAATTCTGATCAATCAGTATTGCTGGAGTGATTCTAAAATGTATTTTAAGGCACACGGAGATTTGGTTGTCAACTTTTATTCATTTGCTTTCTGAGCTGTCATAGTTAATTGGCTGTATAAGTGAACTTTACAAACTACACCTAAATTTGTTTTTATGGCAGAAATCTTACCATTTCTTGCTTTTCTTCCGGGTGCTAGTCTGCCTCTTAGAAATGTTCGTGTCTTAGCTGTGTCACCCATGGAAAACGCGTGCAACTTCTTATCCTAGGCACGAAGGGATTGAGGTCCGCCTAGTAAAGCGGAGGGAGTACAATGAAGAAACTGTTGGATGGGCTGATGCTGTCATAGCAGCAGGAGGTAACTGTGCCCTGGAGCCCAGGCGCTGGGATGGGGTCTTTTCAGTGAGTGCTCGCTCCACGTACCTGCATTCAGCTGGTTTGAATCCTTCAAGTCCTGCAAGACAGGCTTTTTGTCTTTTGCATTTTTTCTTAATATTAGTTAATTTATAATTCTTGATGCTGTGAGATTCTCTTGTTCTTTAATGTAGATTTACAGGTCATCTTCAGATTCAAAACATGATTTGCTAAGTGTATTTTGGTTTAATTACAGCGGTCTTAATAACAAGCCAATTGTGATAACTTATCGAGGCTATTATTTGACCCGAGTACACCAACATGTACTTTTTCTTGAATTTTGCTATTAACAGGTTTTTTTAAAATCCACCTTTAAATCAAAAGTAGTTGTCCAGAGAATATATTAAAGTAGGACATAGTTGGATTATGTTTTCACAAATATATCATAAATCTTTGGGTTGGTTTTATAGGTTAGGGGAGGAGATGTTTGAGATTAGAACAGTGATGCCCAGTTGGATGGTATTATTGTCATTTAGTGGGCTGTTGAAATGAGAAATTCTGCCAGCCACTCTGTGCAGGATAGCCTGTAGGACAGCTTTCCAGTATAAACACTTTTCTTTTCCAGTCCTGGCGCTGTTGAAATCTTGAATCAGTGCAACCGGCACAACACAGTACAATAAGCATAGCACAGTATAACAGGCACAGTACAACAGGCCAGCATAGTACAACAGGCATAGCTCAACACAGCAGGTACAGTTCAACAGGCTCAATACAATGCAACAGGCCCGGTACAGCTGGCTCAGCACAGTATAACCGGGTCAACATAATACAACAGGCATAACACAGGACTACAGGCTCAGCACAATACAACAGGCAGAGTATAGCAAACATAGTGCAGTACGGCAGACTCAGCACAGTACAACAGGCAGAGCAGAATGCAAAGATGTGCTCGGTGGAGGGGAAGCTGCGTCAGTCAGCTAGGAGGGGATGGTTGTTAAAAATGCTAGTTTTCAAAATAATGTTTGAGCTGCTTTCTAAGACAAATCTGGTTGTGTCTTGCACTGTTAGGTGACGGCACGATGCTTCTGGCAGCCAGTAAAGTTTTGGACAGACTTAAGCCTGTTATTGGGGTCAACACTGATCCGGAACGGTAAGCGAGAACATGTTTATTTTGTGTCTGGCTTGTAAGACTAATTTTAAATATTCTATGCACAACTATTTCTGCTTTGTTTTGTGTGTTGCCTATTTTTTGATGACTTTTACACTTTTGAATCAATTCTTCATTTTCTCTGTGTAGTCATGATATGGGGCTCTGTTGCTTCAAGGATTTTACCATAGTGCATGATGTTAAAGCGTAGACATCTTTGTTCCTGGTACTGCGTACATCAGAACATGTTCCAAAAACAATTCAGTGATAAAATGTGCAGTTGACCAAGTGATTGATTGCTGAGACCTTGGATGACTGATGTTGATCCACCCTTCCCACAGTTCTCTGTTACATTTGTTGTCAGTCAGGCCTGGAGGGAATCTCTCAGAATTTGCTTCTTTTGTCTGAAAGCTTTTTTGTTTTTTTCCCCAGCTTTACAGATATTTGCTCTTTTCTTTATTCTAGCCACTGAGAGCCATGATCCTAAGTAGACTTTATGAAATTCATCTGGAGTTTTCCCGCCTCCACAATCTCATTTCTAGGAGCACACTCTCCTTAATGTCAGTCTTATCCCTCTCAGATCTGCCCTTGAGGATTTGATGCTCAGGGCCCCTCTATTTTCTTCATTTTTGTGAATTTCCTTGATGGCTGCATAAATGTTTTAAAATAATTATTTTCCTGTTCAATTCTAGATATGTTTGTCATCTTTTTCATTCCTATATCAGGTTTGAAAACAAATCACCCAGAGGGGAAAAAGAATCTTAGAGACTTGGACTCGCTGGTACTTCTCACTCCCCGGGATCTGTAGACTTAGCCCTCTCATCTCAGCCTCTACCCCAGCCCCCAGCCCACCACTCAGGAGGGCCTGCCTGCTTTTTCTGTCTGCATCCTGTTCTCCCTTGAGTGAGCCCTCCCCATATCACAGGGAATGGAGGTAGGAGATCTCTTCTCATCACCGTGATCCCTCCCAGCCTGCACTCTCACCCGGGCTGTTCCTTTCCTGCCATCTTGTATCCTTGGTTATTGTCCCTTTTCCTTTTCTTGAGCCCAAACATAGCTTGTGTCCTCACTTTTCAGTTCTAAACCTTTGAGCCTTTTCTGGATTTGTCCTCAACAAGTGCTGTTTAAGAGACCAGCGACCCCGGAACCTAGCAGACATGGGGTTTTAAGCATAGCATTTGTAAGATTCTGCCTCTGTGATTTCGTCTTGGTGACTGTCTCTTTAAAGGTACTTAGTTTTCATCACTCATCTATAATGCCATTCTCACAGATTGTTCTTTGGGTCCCTTTGTCCTTGATTGTCTAGAGCGTCCCCTGCTTCCATCGTCATCCCTGGTACCCCACTGCAGTCAGGATGCTTCATACTGTCTCAGAGCCTTACGGGGGCCCCATCCCACTGAGTAAGTCTGAGTCTTAACTGTGAAGAGCAGGCCAACCCACCCTACCTTTCCTTGGATTTATTTTATTTTAGTTTTAGTTTTAGCACTTAGATCCTTTATCTCAGGAAAGGGTCCATAGGTGGTCATCCTCACTGAACCACAAGACTTCATTATCTGCTGGTTCTTCTTTTCCGTCCTAATTTCCTGTTACTTTTGTTCTCTTTTTTCATGCTGTTCTAGCAAACTGGCTTTTTGTCAGCTGTATTAAAAAAGCAGCTTGTCGTCTACAAATGGCCATTGCTTTTCTCTTCTGCTTCATTCCTGATTAGTGGAACCATTACCTGTGATGGAGTTGTGGCTACTTCCTTAGCCTCTCATCAAACTGCTAATAAATTCTAAGAATTTTGCCTTTGATTCTTCCTCTTAAAAAAATTTCAGATGAATTCTTTGAAAATTGTATACTGTGAGTTTTTATTCTCTGTAACTCCTTCCATATTTCCCTTCACGTCTCCCCACTCCCTCAACAACTCCACCTTTTTTGTTTTTATAAAAACCCATTTACTTCAATATGTACTGTCCTGTACTTCCGGGTATGAGGGTATCTACTGGAGTGTGGTTGACCCACCAAGAGCCACACACTAATAGAAAACTGACTGCTTTCCCCAGAAGTGTCAACTCTCTGTAGCTCTGACTCCATGCCACAGAGACTGGCTTGATTGTGTGTAGGCCTTGTCCGGAATGTGCCGTGTCCAGAAGACACTGTGAAGTCCATCTCTTATGATTTTCACTACCACTAAACATAGCTCAGGCCTTTATAGGCTGTTGTTGAAAATATTTCAGTAACCAAGTGTTCAAATATAGAAACCTGTGGGGCACATTTTATATACAACTCATGGTCTTTTTCTAAAGTGCAAATCTGTTTATAGTTACTCCTTAATTAAAATCTTTTACAGTTCCTCCATGATCTTCAAGATACATTGTAAATCCTTAGCTAATATATACATTTTTTTCCATTTGTTGCTTCTCTGCCCTTCTAGTTTCATCACAGGCACTATATAATCTTCAGTTGAAAAAAATGCATGTGTGGATTTAAACTTCTAGGAGCAGCCCAGAGTCTTTCTAAAAGGCTCAGTGTGAATGCTAACCATGTGAGCATCTGTTCACACCTTGGTTGGAAACTCATCCAGGCAAGCTTTGGCTGTGACCAGAAGCTTTGTTGACATATGAGATAGTAGATGACTTAAGAGAGTTCTCCAGAAGGCCCGTGCTATTTTCATGCTTTTGTAAGATGGAGTGTCAAAATGTACTGCTGTGGGTCTTCCTAAGTCAGGCCTCAGCAGCCTCCAGCTCCCTTCACAGACAGTACCTGACTAGCCTCTTCCTGTTCTTTCCTGCCTGTCTCTGCTACTACACGGCTAATTCTTTTGTGTATAGGACTTTGAGTCCCAACCTCTCTAACATTAACATAGGCGTATGCATAGTGTTTAGGAAACGTCTGAAAAATGAATGTAATTGATCTCAGGGAGCAGGCCTAGGACTTCAACCTCACTGAATTAATGTTCTCTAAGATTAAGAAAGTAGGATCATTAGTTCAGTAATTAACTTTGATTCCTTCAGTGTTGGTGCATGTGGATTTTAGATTAATAGCCTGTTTTTATGTCATTAAGATAAGAGGTTGTCAACTTGAGCAATTTTATGGTTGGATTGTGTTTTCTTTAAAAAACTGGCTGTAAGTCATGAATGTGTCAGATTTTGAGACTTTAGGTGTGCCTATGGAGGCAAATAGAAAATGGAGAAAAGGGAAAGCTGAATCAATACCTTGTCATGAGGTAAAAAGTCATGCAGGCGTTTGAGGGTCTCATTTGGGCTGAAATATCGGTATAACGATGGCTGGCCCACATGGACTCAATTCGAATTAAAAATAGCATTCAGTTGTTCTCTTCTGTCTTCTATACTCACTCTGCTGAGCCTGGTAAACAGTTAGCCTTGGAATGCCATAGTATTCAGTCTCATTGTATACTAATATTTCCCCTCTCTGTGGCTTCCATCTTGCTTTCTGTTTTCAGTCAGGGTGGCCATTGAGGCCAGTGAACTGGTGTGATATTGAAAATTCTAAGCTGTGTTCTAAGTGATGTATTGCAGCTTCTGTGTTGGATTGCTCTTGAACTGCTCAGCTACCATGATACTGAAATAAGTATAGCTACCCTGTGAGGAAAGGCTCCCATCAGAGGAACAGAGACCTCCTGCTTGTAGCTGCCACTAGCTTGCAATCTGGGAAGTGAATCTAGTAGCCCAAGTCAGGCCTTTAGATAATACCTGGGGTCCAAGCTGATGTCTGAGTATATGACCTCATGAGAGAGTGTGACTTTCTGTGGACAGTAGTTTAGACTTGTACTTGACCTAAGGAGATGCTTCTGTCAAATGGCTATGTTCCCTTTTATATAGTAAACCTTGGGTGAATTGGTGGATATAAAAGTTTTAAAAGCCTGCAGGACAGATGTTGTTCTAGTGGTCCAGATTTACAATCTCAGCACCCAGACTTGGTAAGCAGTCTGTGATACTCTGTCTCAAAAACAAAAAAACACCCCCCAACCCCCCAAAAAAACCCAATAACAAAAAGTCAAAAAAATGAAGTTCTGTTATTGACCTCTGTAGATAAATTGCTTAACTGTACTTTGCAAAAACTTCTTTTTCTGCTCATTAATTTATATTTTATAACTTTTTTTTTAATTATCAAGACTTTTTGCAAGGTCTACTCATCCATTCCTTCAGGACTAGAGCACCTAGAATGATGATAGTGAAAATTTCTGGATATCATTAGGAGCCACATCTTGTCCTGTAGCAACTTAAAAGGAATCTTATCACTTTGTCATTTTCAGTTATTTTTGGTTTTATTGTATTTTGATTATGCACATATGTATGTGTGTCTGTGTGGGATGTAGTCATGAGTTTATGGCCATCAGAATCAGAAAAGGTGTCAGGTCCCCTGGAACTAGAATTACTGATGGTTGTGAGCTATGTGTCATACATAGTGCTGGGGACTGAACTCGTGTCCTCTGCAAGAGCAGTGCATACTCTTTACCACAGAGCTGTCTCTCCAGCTGTGCGAGTACTCCTTTCATTTGTCTTCCATGTCAGTCTGTGAATTCCTTGAAGTTCATCTTTCATAATTTTTGAGTAAGTGAAAGGTTGTATTGGGATAAGCTTTCTCAGTCCTTTGCTTAAGGATAACTTAAGTGGTTCAACATGTTTGATTTCACACATTTCAGTTTGATTCTTTAGAATAACCTTGAATGGTTGGTGTTTGTCACAATTTTAGAAATAAGGAAACAATCCTAAAGTGACTTATGTGACATTAATAGGTAAGTACTTTAGAGGTAAGACGCAAGAATCCTACTCTACCACTGGGTAAGCTGACAAGGTGATTAGTAGCTGAATTTTGCTATTAGTTTTAGTTTTATCAGTATGGAAATATAAGTATAATCCTGTTTTATTAAAGCTTGTTGTGAACTCTGATTTGTTTAATGTTTTTTGTTGTTATTGAAAGTACAGGCAATTTGTGGCAGAAATGAATGAAGTGAAGGATTGAAATTTAGAAAAACTGGTCTTGGGTTTTTGTAGTTTAGTGATGCTCTGAATTTTTTTCTCCTCTGCCTATTTTTCTCCACCTTTTGTACCACCTGAACATCCCCTGACATTCCAGGTCTGAAGGCCACTTATGTCTGCCTGTTCGATACACACATTCCTTCCCTGAAGCCCTGCAGAAGTTCTCGCGTGGCGAGTTCAGGTAGGAAGTCCTAATTCTCTTGTTTGGTTCTTTAGTAAATCTGTGCTGCTGATGCTGTTCACAAAGAGGAGACACAGACAAACCGGGGCACTTCCCTGATCCTTACAAAAGGAGCTGCAGAAAATGCAAGGAGTCAGTCACAGAGCTCTCCTACCTTCTCCTGTCCAGTAGAACAAAGTAGAGAAAGCGTGACAAATGGTCCTTGGCCTATCATTGTAAAATGATGATTTTACTCCTTCAGCCAGAGTGAAGTTGACTCTACGTTTTTTTAGTCTTGTTATTAATATATGTTCTTAGCATTTGGTAGAAAGATAGTTCAAGCTGTTTAGTAAAATTGAAGCTTTGGTTTTATATTTGTACTTTTAACTGGTAATGAATGGATGCTTATGGGTTTAATCAGCCTGGTATCTTTGTCTTTTCTGTGAAGTGTTTTTTAGCGTTGGGATGGGCTTTTTAAAAGCGTATTTCTCCGAGCTGGAGAGGTGGGTCAGTGTGTGGGAGTATTTTCTGTGAAACACAATTTGAATTCTCAGCATCCACTTTTACTGAGTTACTGTTTATGTCTTTAGGTGTAGTAGGTAGCTCACGTTTCTCATTTCTTGATCTTTTTTCCTACAGTGTTTAAAAACAATCACCATTGCCTGGCAGTTGTGACGCACATCTTTAAATGCAGCACCCCAGGAGACAGAGGCAGAGGCAGGTGGATGGATCTCTGCGAGTTCAAGGCCACCCTGGTCTACAAAGCGAGTTCCAGGACAGTCAGGGTCACACAGGGAAACTCTTGTCTCAAAAACCAACAAAACCAAAGCTACAACAATATAAATCAGCATTTTGAAATTTTAGGGGACATTCATCTAATACATTCATCTTGGTGGGGAACTGTTTGCCTTCTGTGATAGGCGCTGCTGAGCAAACATATGCATGTGTCCAGCTCTTATGGATTTAATGGTTTATTACTAAGAGTTTAATTCAGATTACCGTGTAGGTTTTAGATAAGCTTCTTAGACATTACCAACAACTTGAAAAAGAAGTAAACACCCATATAAGCCTTTCAGTGGGGACCTGTGGGCTTTAGGAGTTTGTGCTATAAGTTACTCTTGGAATAATTAGCTCCCTCCCTATCTTTTGGCCGGATCTCATTATGTAGGTATGGCTGCCCTGGAGCTAGCTTTGTAGACTAGGCTGGCCTGGAACTCAGAGTTCTGCCTGCTTCTACCTCTCCCTAGTCCTGGTATTAAAGGCATATATACATATATATATATATGCCTTTATGGCTTCTCATGTACATTTTTCAATTTGCTGAGGTATTATAATGTCTGATTCATACTTCAGTATATTTGATTTTATTGTAACTTCCCTTTCTTTATGTTCAGGTGGCTGTGGAGACAGCGTATCAGATTATATCTGGAAGGGACTGGCATAAACCCCACCCCCGTAGACCTTCACGAACAGCAGCTGAGTTTGAATCAGCACAGCAGAGCCTTCAACATTGAAAGAGCTGATGATGAAAGTAGGTAGACTGGACATTACCCTTGGGCGGGCACTATGTAATTTCTAAGCTTTTGAAGCAAAAATTTACATTTTAATTTGCTTTTAGTGCCACTAGTAACTCTTAAAGAAATACTTTTTGCTGGCTTAAATTTTTGTTGTCGTTGTTATAATTAGAATCTAAAGAAGTAGAACATGTTTTAAGACGAACTGTCTCTAGGACAGGTTTGAAAACTAGTTGATTAGGGATAAATTATTTAATGCCCAGCAGGACAGTTGATACTTAGGGAAAGACCTTTGACAAATCAAGAGAAAGCAGGAGAGAGTGAATAAGCTGATCTGTAGGAGATCTCATAAGTATGTGTTTCTGTAGTTATGAGTGTACTTAACTGTCTGTCTCTCTCTGTATATTTGACTGCATTTACTGTAGTTGTTGATTAAAATCCTTCTTGTTGAAAGATTTTTGCATCCAGCTTTGAGATTTCTGTTTAAGGTTGATTAAGGAGAATCCTGGCAGATGGAAATTTACAGCTGTTCTGTATGAAGGTTAAAGTGAATATTCAGCTTTGCTCAAATTTATGGATTTTTATTTTGTCATGTTATTGTTTCCAGTAACTCTAAAACTTACATGGTGCAAAAAAAAATCACAAAAGAAATATTTGTGGACTGTTATAAAAAGATTCTTCTCTTTGAAAAATTTCTGGGTAAATCTCAGGAATAGCATCTTAACCCTCTACCATCACTACACCCCCTTTCTGCTGGGTCCCAGTGATGCTTTGTTTTTCTAGCATGTTTTAAGATCTGAGTTCATGGCATGTTGGAAAGATTCTCTTTCTCTTTAAAAAAATCATTTGCTTTTATAAACCTTTTGAGGAATTACGTGCACATGAATTCCTGTTGACTAGTTTTGAAACTCTTTATTAAATAAGATGTAATTGTCATAGCTAGAAATTTTATTTTATCTTCCACTAAAAGAAGCTTCTTCTGGGCTGGGGAGGTGGCCCAGTGGATGAAGCGTTTTTGTTCAAATATGAGGAATGGCGTTTGGATTCCTAGAATCGTGTGACACCCACTCCGATCCCAGCACCCAGCGTAGAGGCAGGGTTCCTAGCACAAGCTTACTAGTGACTCTCTGGGATCAGCAAACTCAGTCGAGAGATCTCACCTCAATCAGTGAAATGGAGAGAAACCAAGGGAGACACCAAGTTGTCAAACTTTGGGCCTCTACATGCTAATACACGTGTATACATGTGCACTTGTACCTGCATATACCCCGGAGCTGTGTACACACTTGGAAGCATACCACACCATGAATAACATCAATATCTTCAAAAGATGGTGAATCACTTCTTTTCATCAATAGCTACATCTTCGGAGATATGTAAAAAGTCATACCTAGAAATGAGTTATTCACACTAAGTTGGGGTTTAGTATCCAGGATGAACATATGAAAAATGTCAGGGCTGGGAAAGCAATAACAAAAAAAATTGCCTAAGTAAAGAAATCCAAAAATCTGAATTGAAAGAACTCAGAAGTCTTTATCGTATGTAGTGGTAGTAAATCCCCACACCCGATGTGTCAGAAGACTGGGTGGGATTTCCAGGGGCGGGGGGAGCGCTGATACGGCTCTGTGTAAAAGATATGGAATCAGGATAGTTTCAGGGTTATCAGTAGTAGCAGCATCGGCACCGATACCGCTGTCATTATGTAACTGTCACTATTAGGATTGACAGCATGGATTATTTTGGAGAGGTTTTTAGTAGAATTTAATTTTAATAGATGTATTTCTAAGAAAATTGAGAGCCATTTCAAGGTGTGTGTTTGATATCCAACTTAAGTCCTCTTTGTATAAGCAGGAAACACTGCCTAGAAAACTTGCATAGGTTTGATATTACAAATATAAATATATTAAATGATTTAGCTTATCAGTTTAGAACAAGACTAGTGAGAACACCTTTACATCTTGGAACTTAAATGCTGCAACTTTGAACATTTTTGCCTTATGTAGTGTGACTTGTCCTTGTCTAGGTTTCTTGTTACAGGTTATACAATTATAAATTTATGTATTTATTGTCAGTGTACCTTTAAAGGGAAAGGTGGGTTGATTTGTTTTTAAGTTTTAAATTTATCAGTTAATTACTATTTGCAAGGCTAATTATATTCATTTGGGTACATGAATTAGTTTGATAAACAACATCAGATTTGTCATGGCTTTATGCAGTATGTATCATTTCTAGTTCATCTCACTGTACAAGGAGTGGTCAGGCATCCCAGGGTTCTCCCATATTCTAAGAGCTCCTGCCATATTTCAAGGCCTCTGGGTTTTCCACTTGATCTCTTGTATTTTGTGGGAAGAATCCAGAGAGCATGAAGGATCTTAAGGAAGCTGTAGAAGCCAGTCCTATCTTCTCATTGCTTCTGACCACCTTGCAGTTGGAGGCCTGTACCTGGTGCAGGTGGACCTGGAAATAGGCTGATAACTAGGTGACATGCGAGAGTTGCACACAGTAGCTGTCTCTGCCACTAGTTTAAATTCACAATTGTGTATTGTGTTAATTATGACTTTGCAGTTGATTGTGTAGAATAGGAAATTAACTGATATTCAGTTCATATTTTTGTATCTTTATATACTACATACAATGTATGGCTATATAAATATGAAGTATATTTATATAGAGGCAGATTATAAGTGGGTAGTGCTTAAGGGTTGGTAGTCATTTAGAATGAGAAATAAAAGCATATGATTAAAGAAATTTTATCTTTACTTGACAAAAAATAAAAAGAAACGAAATCCAACAAGTACAGATATTTAAAGATGTGGAGTGTAGTAGCATGAGTCTTTAACACAACATGTGGGAGGCAGAGGCAGTTGGATCTCTCTGAGTTTGAGTTTGAAGCCATTGTGGGCTACAAAGTGAATCCCAGGAGAACCAGAGCTGTATAAAAGACCCAAAGAACCCAAAAACACATGGTATGGAGAGGAAGATAGAAATAGAGGTAAAAAGGTAAGTCCATATAAAAGAAAAGTACATGATGGTAAGAGTTCATGTTCACTAATAATATTTGTTAAACATCTGTTGTAAGTTCAGCATTTGTGAAGAATTCATGGGGATAAAGATCTAAAAATTTCATTAATAATTTATTTAAGGAAAAATAATCTAAGTTTTTAGCATTGTATGTTTGTCTAACTGTCCAATATGAGATTGTTTTGAAGCAAGTTGGGATAATATCAGGTTAAAATGAATTATGATTTTGAATGCAATAAAGTTTAGTTAAATATATAGGACTCAGTGTGTGTCAGGTATAGTGATGTGTCCCTGCATTCCCAGGACTCAGTGGGTCAGGTATAGTGATGTGTCCCTGCATTCCCAGGACTCAATGGGTCAGGTATAGTGATGTGTCCCTGCATTCCCAGGACTCAGTGGGTCAGGTATAGTGGTGTGTGTCCCTGCATTCCCAGGACTCAGTGGGTCAGGTTCTTTCTGTTGGACTGACAAAGCAGGTGGATAGCAACTGTCCAAAGAACTCATGGCACTGTAACGGGACCCTTTACAGCTGAGAATAGTTCAGTCCCGTTAGGAGGTTAAAATTCAGGAGGAATGAGAGAAATACATAGTAAGCATGTATGGACACTTATGTCAGAAGTCAGAGGTCACATTGGTGACTGTGTATCCAGTGTCTAATGTGAGCTAGGACTCTAGTTTATGTAACACATTACTCCAATCTTTAACATTGCAGGCATACATATTTATAAGCTCACAGGTTATGAAGCTCAGAATCCAGAAACATCTTAACTGTTAGTTCTAGTTCAGGGTCAGGAAGTGGCAAGCTGTCAAGCTGAATAGCACTGAATAGCAGTATGTGAAGACCTGCCCGAGACTAGAGAGTTCACTTGCTGTTTCTCATATGTTGGTTAACAGAAAGGAAGCTTCATTTCATGTGTGTGTGTGTGTGTGGGAGAGAGAGAGAGAGAGAGAGAGAGAGAGAGAGAGAGAGAGAGAGAGAGAGAGAGAGAGAGAGATCCTTGGGGGGATCTCTAAAGTCTGTCATTTTATCCAGGGCAGGACCTAGGCCCTTCCCCATGTGTCCAGGCTGAGAGAGCATCCCTCTATGTGGAATGGGCTCCCAAAGATCATTTATACACCATGGTAAACACTGATCTACTACCCAAGGCCCCAGTGATTTCTGTGGCCTCCTCACTGGCACTACATTCATGGAGTCTGGATCAGTCCCCTGTTGGCCTCTCAGGCATCAGTCTGGGATTCAAGAGCCCCCCTTATCCGGTCAGCTGTGTTTGTGGGTTTCACCATCATGGTCTTGACCCCTTTGCTCATCACTCCTCCATCTCTGTCACTGGGTTCCAGGAGTTCAGTTTAGTGTTTAGCTGTGAGTATCTGCCTCTGCTTCCATCAGTCACTGGCATATAAGGTAGTCATCAACCTTACGATCAAGGAGGGGCTATTTAATGCAGTCTCTCTACTATTGCTTAGTTTGCCAGTTGGTATTATCCTTGTAGATCTCTGGAGATCTCACTAGTGTCAGCTCTCTCCTCAAGCCTATAATGACTCCATCTATTATGGTATCTCTCATCCTGGTCTCCTCTATTCTTACCTTGACTCAACCTTCCTGCTCCCCTATGCCTTCTTCTCCCTTCCTCTTATCCCCCTCTCTTTTTCCTGGTTCCCTCTCCCCTCCCAGCTGTGTTCCCAATCTGCTCAGGAGATTTTGCCTTATTCCACTTCTCTGGGGTATCATGCATCTCTCTTGGGAACCTCCCTGTTTCCCAGACTCACTGGCACTGGGATTGTAGGCTGAGACTCCCCTGATCCCATATCTAAAATTCATATATGAGTGAGTACATACCATGTTTGTCTTTTTGTGTCTGGGTTACCTCACTCAGGATGGTTTCCTCTAGTGCCATCCATTTGCCTGCAAATTTCGAGATTCCATTGTTTTTTTTTTTCTGCTGAGTAGTACTCCATTGTGTAAATGTACCACATTTCTCTATCCACTCTTCAGTTGTGGGGCATCTAGGTTGCTTCCAGGATCTAGTTATTACATATAATTCTGCTATGAACATAGTGGAACAGACATCCTTGTTGTGTGAATGGGCATCTTTTGGGTATATGCCTAAGAGTGGAATTGCTGGGACCCATTTTTCTGAGGAATCTCCATATTGATTTCCATAGTGGCTGTACAAGTTAGCACTCCCACCAGCAGCGGAAGAGTGTCCCCTTTCTCCACATCCTGCACAAACTGTCATTGGTGGTTTTTTGTTGTTGTTGTTGTTTTGGTTTTTCGAGACAGGGTTTCTCTGTATTGTTTTGGAGGCTGTTGGTCCAGCCCCGCCTTGAACTCACAGAGATCCGCCTGCCTCTGCCTCCCGAGTGCTGGGATTAAAGGCGTGCACCACCACCGCCCGGCTCCTCATTGGTGTTTTTTATTTTAGCCATTCTGACAGGAGTAAGATGATATCTCAGAGTTGAATTGTATTTTCCTAATGGCTAATGATGTTGAACACTTTCTCAAGTGGGAGAACTCTTTCTTAAATGGTTCAGATTAAACAAAAGATGAGGATTTTTACAAATGTGGAAGGGAGATGTGCTAATGTTTTTCTCATTGTCATCTTTAAAAACATTTTTGAGATTTTCTAATGAAAAAAAAAGTGCTTTTTCCATTGTTGTTGTTTTTTCTTAAACTTAAAAAACAAATTGAGATTACATTTTCCCTTCCCTTTCTTTCCTCCAAACTCTCACATGTACCCCTCCTTGTTCTCTTACAAATGCATGGCCTCACTTTTCAGTAATGTCTATAAGTTGCATGCATATATGCATATGTATACACACGCCTACATTCCTAAGTATGACTGTATAATGTTGCTCATGTGTGTTTTCAAGGAAGACCATTTGGTATTGGATAACCAGCTGCTGTTCTTTTCCTTGGCAAAGACTTTGTTTGCTCTCAGCATTCCTTCGTTGCCTGTAGTTCTTTGTGAAGGGTTCGGGATTTGTGGGCTTTTCCTCATGCACCCTGGAATGTCCATTGCTACTGTCCTAGTTTGGTTATGTTTGTATAATCATGTTAGTGAGACTTCGTAGGTGTAGCTCTGACATTACTCGACTATCTAACTTGGTTTGCAGTATGAGCCATGCAGGTAACTTGTGCCCTAAATCCAAAGTGGTGCTTCAGTCAGTTCCTCCTGTAATGACGACCAGGGAAAATTCAGTTAATACTGCAACACCTAAAAAGTTACTTCAAGGGTTACAGTTAGAGAGACAGGTTACATTTGTTGGTATGGGCTAGGTGACTTTAGACTTTATCTTATGAACAATTTAGGATGCTTCTGTGTTATTAAAGAATATGATGCTTCTAAAACTCTGGATTTGATGAACTTGTATTTTAAAAGTTCTGAAATTCAAGGAACTATCTTGGATCTCTCACCTTCTACTGCAGGATCCGAGGCATCGGGACCTCAGCTTTTGCCAGTGCGAGCACTCAATGAGGTCTTCATCGGGGAGAGCCTGTCATCCAGGTACCTGGAATTCAGTGTTTAAGCACCTCTGATATTTTCATTTAATTTCTACAACCTGGCACATAGCAGTAATAATATAAGTAGGAGAAATGAATTATTTAATAGAATTGCTTCCAAAGCCATCATACATGCTGATATGAGGACATAGAACATTGTATGAAGAAAACCTGGGAAACTTCACATTCTGCAGTTCCTCAGAGTTGTTCATTTCTAAGGGCTGGGGAGAAGAGTGAGGCCTAGGTGTACATTCGCAGCTGACACATTTCTTAGGTAGTCTGTATTCACATTTCTCTTCTAAAACTGAGTGTAGTAGCATACTGCTGTACTCCAGCTGCTCAGGGGGCCTCTAACAGTCTTGTTAAAGCCCAGAAGCTTAAGGCCCTGCTTGAGCAGCGTAGTGAAAACCTATCTCCCTCCTGGCTCTCCCACCTCCCGTCTTCCCTTCCCTCCCCCTCCCCTTCACCACATGTGAAAACCTTATATGTACGCATACACATTCATACACATTTTCTCTCCCTCTCTTTCTCACATACACACACTCATATACATATGTCTCATACATGTATCTCTCACACGTTCTCATGCATATATATTTTCTTACACATATTCATCTCTCTCACACACATCTCTCCTACACAGACTCCCATATATACACATTTTCTCTCAGACACTCTCACATACACATTTCTCTCTTACAACACATATATTCATCTCCCCTTCTCTCTCACACCCATAAACACACATACACACACACACACAAGTGGAGGAAAAATGTCTTTACTTATTAGTGCTTTTAAAGCTGATTTGCTTATTTCTTCTTTTAATACAGGATCCAATTATGAATCATATACTACATTTTGCTCTTGTGACTTTCTGCTTATAAAATTAATAATAACTCCTCATTTTTGCCATTTGTGGTACTAATACTTTCGACCAGTCTGAGCCAGTTGGTTGCAGGACACCCCTTATTTTTTTTCTGCTGACGTTTGCTGCGTAAGCTTCAGATAAGGCGTTTTTTGTTTACCATGCTGTGTCTATGTAATTGTTCTGTGTTTAATGTAACCCTAGGGCAAGTGTATTGACAATTCAAGGTTAATGTCTTTAGTAAGGGCTGGAGACACATCTTAGTGCAGAGTGCTTTCCCAGCATGTGTAAGTCTCTAGGTTTAATTCCCAATAATGTGCATGCTTACGCGTGAGCGCACACCCAGATAGCACCATTTTTAGCAAAATTAATTTAACGTAAAAATTTGATAACTAAATATAACAGCTTTGAAATGCCAGCATTTTCTCCCAACCTTGGAAACACGGGGATAGTCTCTATGAAATGACCACCAGGAAGTAAAGTCAGTTTCACTGTAGTATGTTGTGCTTGGTTCCCATTGTGTAGATTAGGCACAGAGACTGCAGGTGAGTTCATGTCCTGCCTACCTGCTACCACAATCATGTGACCCTTTGAGTGCTGTATCATTGAATCTCTAGTTATAATGTATTGTTAATTTTCTTTATTGCAAGTTATATCCTTCCATTAAAAGTTTATGATGAGAGAGATTTGTCATAACTAAAATTGATATCTACATTCCAGCTAATATTAAATAAATAGCTTTATTTAATCAAAACAGTTGACATTAAAATGGTGACTAAAGAGACAGAATTATTTGAACAGTCCTTTTGAATTATTGTAGTTATTTTGTTGTATATAATATTTATTCAATAAAAACATATTTTGTGCCTGTTACATACCATGTGTAAGTCACTAGGGGTATAAAGATGTGTATGAAAAAGGTGAGGTTGATAAAAATAAGTTTTAAAAATTTTAGAGTGTTCTTTCAAAAAATATTTAATGACTTAAGTGTAAAAGGTGTTTATCTTAACATAGTGAGATATATGAGCTATCTGTTCATAAAGTTTTGTGTCATACTACATCTATGATGTAACACTATATGAAGATGATAATAAGTTTTGATGTATAGAAGAGGAGGAAAGGACAAGGAAGGCACCAGAGAGCATCCATGAAGTTGAAAAGATATATTTGTCTGTGTTTCCTATGGGAAGTCATTGGTAGCTTACTTTACTATGTTTATAAGGCTACCTTCATGGCCTCATACTTCGTATTTACTGAAGAGATAATGCAGAAGAGGAGGAAACTGGGACCGGATGGCAGATTGGGAGCCAGTGAAGTCTCACAGGGCAATGTCTGCTGCTGCTGTTTTATTCTTTGATGTCTGTCCCTAGATCTTTAGCAAGATAAGGAGGCAGTGTTCTGTTTTGAGGCTGTTGAACACGGTGTAGCTATTATAGAGGCTTTAGGGCTAATTTTTGAAAACTGACTAGACCTTTAGGCGAAACGAGCATGAAGACGTGAAGTGTCTGTTATCTGTCACACTGTGTATATTGTGTTCTGTTACTTCATGCTCTGATAGCAGCTCCTGAGGAAGGCAGCTGAGTAGGGAGATTCAGAAGCATCAGATAAGTTGTGTAGGTCATGTAATTATTTAGAAGCAAAACTGTCATTTGAGCCCATTATTCCTGATCCCAGATATAGGTTGAGGCTTGCTCTGGAACCTTACAGGCTTTGCTTGGGAAATATGAAGCGCAGCAATGTTTTTCCTGCCTCACTTTCAATGTTCTTAGATTGGAGAACATTTTAAAAGCCCGTGTTTTTTCTTTTCTGTCTGTTCTAACCTAGAATGCCTTATTGTTGGGCTGTAGCAGTGGACAATTTAAGAAGAAGTATACCCAATCTAAAGGGACTGTGAGTTTTATTGCTGACTTAAAAATAATTTCCGCCAAACAAAAATCCTATGAATTCACTAATCTCAATAAACCTGCATGTAGAATGGCACTAAATTTGCTCATCGTTTTGGGCTGAACATCTCTCACCTGGGTATAATCTTCTCGTGTTCTCTTCTGCTCATCTCCACCTTCCTCACTCTCGTTTCGGCTTCTTTCTAGCACCGTAGCAGACATTGCTGGGGATTTTGCTGGGCTGTCTCAATAGTAGGCTTCTCATGTGCTTTTTGAGGAAGAAGTAACTGACCCGTGAAATAGATTAGGCACTGTTGTCCTTTGTAAAGAACAGTAAAGAAAGCAACAATGAGAAGTTGTTATATAATGAAAAACTCATATTAGGAGCCTGGAGAAGAAGTTGAAGGAATTACTAGTGTGTATTGTTTGCAAATGTGTTTAATAACTTACTTTGAAAATCCATATTTTATTAAGAGTTTAACTTCTTAATTTGCTGAAGAAACAGTGTAATGTTTGTGAATGACACCATTATTTTAAGATATCATTTACACAGTAGATTTTTTTTTACATATTTTAGTTCTTTCTGTTGTCCACTCAGTATTTAAAGAATAGTATCGTGTGTGCTGGTGTAAAAAAAAAGTCATTTTATATTTATGGAATATTTTAAAACATTAGTTGTTCAAGAAATTTTACTTTGATATTATTTTTAGTTTTGTCTGGTGATACAGAATTGCCTGAGGATTTTCTTTACTGTTTTATCTGCTAGCCCACTATCATTTGAAATGATATACTAGCACATAGCTTAAATAAGAGTTTAGCAGCAACTACTGTTATCACAAAGAATTAGATGTAGATGGTGTTGTGTCAGGAACTAGGTGCCAAGAATGACACCCACCTAAAGATGAAATTGCTTGAATACTGAAAGGACGCACTGTGTGTGTTGGGTCCCGAAGAGCAGAAGCAGCACTGTTAGAAAACACTAAGGGATTGATAGGAAGGGGGCGTATAGGTCAGAAAGGCATGCAGATAAGCGAATGTTTTTTCCTTGTAATTTTTTCTCTTAATCAGTACTGGAATTAGCTCAGTGATGTATGTGCCTACTAAGTCCGATGTCTTGGTCAAGCTGATTTCTTTAGATTTCAGGAAATTTGAAGACCGTTATTTTTCCCTGGGGCCCTAACACAGTTCAGCAAACATAGTTTCCTATTTTCAATTCATAGGGCTTCGTACTATGAAATTTCAGTTGATGATGGCCCATGGGAAAAGCAAAAGAGTTCAGGACTCAATTTGTGTACTGGAACAGGATCAAAGGCCTGGTGAGTAACTTGCAATGTTGTCTGTCAAGGCGTGGAACTATGTTAAGTTACAGAATTGACTTTCTTACATAGATGCACCTGAGTCCTCTAATTTGCAAGGACATCACACTGTTGTTCAGCACATTCAAACCTGGTCTTCCTGTCTTGGGTTTTTTTCCTTCTGTGTTCCATGCAGTGTTTGCCTCTGTTACTGTTTTCTCAGACTCCATTACTAAAGGAAAACATCACATCCTAAAATCTCTCTTTCTCTCTTGCTGTCCTTCACTCCCCCCCGCCCAAACCGGTCTCAAAGTCCTGTGGTTGCAATTCCCAAGTCTTTGCCAACTTTCTCAACTTCTGCTATTGCTCTTTGGTCTGGGCCCCATCTTTTTTCGGTAGATATTCTTTGTGCCTGACCTCTTTTTCTCCTGGTTGTCACCTAAACACTCCCAACAGAGTGGTCATTGTAAAGTACAAAGTGATGTTTCTGAATGCGTGTAGAGAATCTCCATTTTTGGCTTTAACACTTTGGCCAGCACTACTTAGTCTGCCACGAATACCCTGGTAAAATGTGGCCATGGCCATCTAACTTTATTTATCCCTCTCATGCCCTTACCCTACCCATCAACCCTCTGGAGACACCACAAACTGCTTGCAATTCCCAGCACACACCTTGTTCTCCTCAAGCCTTTTGTTTTTGTTCACTGCATCTTCTCCCTGCTTTGAATTCTGAATACCCTCCGCTTCCCATCCCCTGGTTAAAGCATCCAGCCTTCAGACGCCATTGTCTGAGGGGAGCCATCATTAACGTAGGTTTCTTTCGTGAGACAGTGAATGAATCCCCTTTGTCTCCACCAGCGCTTCTCCCAGTGCTGCTCCAGCACCAGCCGTGTGTCTAACAGGCTGATGGTACTCAACTAGTTTGGGCATTTTGAGGGGTTTGATACAGTAAAGCACACATTTTCCATGTTTAGTGTCCTTTTAGGATGGAAGCAAGAATTCTGTGCTTGCTTTTTTCTAGGTCATTCAATATCAACAGGGTTGCAGCTCAGGCTGTTGAAGATGTTTTAAATATTGGTGAGTACCGAAACAGTATTCTGTTGTGTACGATGTAAAGTACACGCTATGTGTTTGCCACTGTATGATGTACAATACTAACTGAAGCTTTTTCCACCTTTTCTTGGTCAATAGCAAGACGACAAGGAAATCTGACTCTTCCATTGAACAAAGAGTTGGTAGAAAAAGGTTAGTACCACCTTTGTTTGTTTATTTTGGTCAGCTCTGAGAAAGGACAGTATTAGGTGTATTAGGTGCATCCACTTAAATAGATGTTATAACACTGTCTCGTTAAATGTAGCTAAAGGAGGGCTTCCAAGAAAAAAAATTAAATTACTATTTATGTATTTTGTGTGCGCATGCATGTGTGCATTCCTGGTGCTTGTAGAATTCAGAGCATAACTTACAAGAATTAGTTCTTTTCAACAAATGAGTCCCAGGGATTTGAATTCAAGTCATCAGGTTTGATGGCAACCATCTTCACCTGTGAACTGTCTTGCCTGTCCTGAAGCTGGAGTTTTATACTGTCATTTGTGTTCACCATGAAATCCAGCCCATATATAAAGATATTACAACTGTAAATACATCCTGGGTGATAGAAGATTTATGTAAGTAAGAAAATGCATATCTAAAGTCATACTGTCCCAATAGGTTTTCCCATAGTCATAGTCTTGCTTCTCCTGGTATTAACACTATCAGATAGTTTCTGCTCATTTTCAATTTGGGACTTAAAAGATTTTAATCATGGCTCGACAGCATTAGCACTAAATTGGTGTCAAGAAAAGGGAGATTGGCACTGTAATTTCTAGTTATGTAATTTTTATGAGAACTATGTAAAGATACATGGTGGTGGACATTTGGATGCTCTGAGTTGATTACTTGTCAGTATATACATGAATCAAATAATAACCTTGTTTGTGCTTCTGTACAAATACATACTAACATTATGTCAAATGCGAACCCCAACACAGTCAACATAACACAGCTGAAATTTATAATTCCTATTGAAGTTGTATCCAGAACACAGGGATAGACATTAAAATGTGTAAAGGCTTTACTGTGTGAACACTTCTTTGAAGATTGAGCTGTCTCCAGAAACTAGGTCAGTGGACATCACAATCACAAACATTCCTAGAACTACGCGTGAAGTTTCTTTCACAGCTAGCACATTTCCTATTTTACTTTTTGTGGTTAGGTGATTTTTTTTCTTTTACAGACCCAAATATAGTTTTTCAACCTTGATAAGGATTTTTAGAAGATGACACTTTATTAGTTCCCAGGCTTGTGGTGCCATGAAGTAACTCTGGGTGTCCTGTTCATGGCAGGGGACTGTAGTGCCCAGTCAGACACAAGGTAGAAGGTAAACAGGACACAGCCCCTCTGGTGTTCTGTGCTGTGATGATGTTCAGGAGGCTGTGAGCACTAAATATGTTTTCAACTTGATATATTTTCAAATCATGATGGGTTTGTTGCGATATAACCTCATTGCAAATTAAAGAACATACACATATAAAATTCTAACTGTAGAGCCACAAATAAGGCCTATTATCAGACAGTCTGTCTTTTTAATGTGATACTCACCTAAACTTTCACTTTTAACTTCTTGTATAGTTGTTCTTTTTCTTGTATTCTTTGAAGAGATAAAAATCTGGGTGCCCTAGCTGGCCTCAGATTATTTTTGGACTTAAGCCACCCTCCTGCCCCCAAGTAGCTGGGACTGTAGACATGTGCTGTCTTGCCTGGCTTGTATAGTTGTCTTTAACTAATTTATGTTAGATAGAAAGTGGGCCCTAAGAGTTTCTTCAAAGATCTTGAGATGTGCAGCCTCACTGGAGAAAGCTTAACTGCTTTTCTTTGGTTGAGACTGTGTTTTCCTCTTATTGTTAACTCTGATGTGATACGTGAGGGAACTTGACAACTTGTGTTTCACTTTTGAGTTTGTCTTACTGCTTAATTCCTAGCTTTGTAGTCTTTGTTTCTCTCCTCTGCCCCCACTTATACCTGTTTCTTCTGTTGTAGGTGAATAATGCTTTTGTGGGTTAATAATTGAACCTAATAGTCATTTATTTCCTAGGCTTTTTATGGTAGAGTATGTATTATGAGTTCCCAAGAGATACGCTTCCAAGTAGCCTTTGGACACATGCTTGAAATTGGAATCAGTGTGTTTGTCACCTGCTCTTCAAATGTGACTGTCCTTTACTAAATCTGTTGTTTTCTCCCTTACAGTAACAAATGAATATAATGAATCATTGCTCTACAGTCCTGAAGAACCAAAAATACTTTTCAGTATTCGAGAGCCAATAGCAAACAGAGTTTTCTCAAGCAGCCGTCAACGTTGTTTCTCATCAAAGTAAGCATCCTTGATCAGTCCAGTAAATTATTTAAAAAGGAAAAACAAAACAAAACCCCACAGAAACAAACAAAATCATCCTTTTCTTTTTGAGACATTGAGGCCACCTAGAAGGAAACAGCTTTTGCTTTATTCAATTGAGATTCAATTTATATTTACAAATTAAACTCGTTTGTATTTCTTACATCTTAATGTCTTAGGTTTTTGAATATTAACTAATATAAATAGAAGGCTTCATGACATAGGTGATTGGAAGAGACACTGTAAACATACCGTGAAATGTACTTGAACAACATAAGGTTGATAAGTTGCTCTACACCAGGATTAAGAACTCCAAAGAATAGTCCATTAGGGAAACAAAACAGCAAGGTACAGAGCAAGGTATTTGCAAAAGATATCTGGCCTATCTCAAGGTATTTGAGAATAGTGTCTGGAGTCATTGCTTCAGTAGCCAAAACTTTGTGAGCATATGCACCATGCCACAAATGGGATTTGGAGCTTTACCTATGTGGTCATAATCACAATCAAGTGTACTGGAAAGTGTGTATTAAGTTACTTGAGGGTGTATGTACACTGGATGTATAGTGTATGTGAAATGTGAATTTTGTTTAGATTTGGATTTCATCCCCAGATACCTCTCTCTCTCTCTCTCTCTCTCTCACACACACACACACACACACACACACACACACACGTATGTAAATATTAAAAATTTTAAAAATCCTATCTAAAAGATTTCTGTTTCTAAGCATTTTGGTTAAGGACTATTCAGTCTACATATAAAAGTAAAAATAAAAGGCAACCCACTGCATTAAAAAAATAAAAAGCCAAAGATGTTTGATCTTTCCCAAAGGCATATTTAATAAACATCTAAAAAGTGCTTGACCTTACTAATTTGGGGAATGAAAACATCCCCAAACTAGCATGGCTGATATGCAGTTCAAGAATGGACAGTTCCGTACAGTGATAGACAGTGGGCACACTTGAGAAGAAGCGGGCAAACGTAGCAGCTGGGAGAAGGTACTGATGCTGTGTTCATAAACTGTTCATTATTGAGTTCTCTCTTCCATGCTTACATTATAGAATCCTTAAGTAAAATTTTACACAAGAATGCACTCTTGCTCAGTAAAAATACTTGTCTTGGAAATAACTTGAAGTTACATGAATGTAACCTAGCAACCACACCGTCTATTTTTTTTTTACCACTGGTAAATACTAAAATGAATGGTTCTACCTTGAATTTTAAATTTGAGATGTTGATAATACACCCATATTATTGACAGTCACTGATTGTTAAATCAGAAAGCAACTAAATTCTTAAAATCAAGGGGCCAAATAAGCTATTGGTTATGCCAACAAAAATCAAGAGTTTACTTAGTGTTAAGATATTTAATGGTTTATATTTAATGAGACATCTCTTTCCCCTTAGAGTTTGTGTCCGTTCTCGATGTTGGGATGCCTGCATGGTTGTGGATGGAGGAACTTCTTTTGAATTTAACGATGGAGCAATTGCTTCAATGATGATCAATAAAGAAGATGAGCTTCGAACTGTGATTCTAGAGCAGTGAAGGATTTCCTCAGACAACACATTTGATTACTAGAAGTATTTTTTTTTTCTGCAGATACAGATGACCAGCCATAAACCTACCTTATTTTGGTCCTTACTGAGACTGGCTATCACTAGAGTCAAAGGTGACAAAGTAGGATCTATGTCCTGTTCTGTTCCATTGTGATAGACAAAAACTGTTCACCATGTGAGAAATGGTGGACTAAATGGATTAAAATTACATTGGTGACATTTCTATATTATTTACAGTTGGTAACCAAGAGTATTGACATTGTTTAGAGAGGCAGGTTAAATAAAAGGTTAAGTATTTAGGATTTCAAATTTAACTGTATAAGCGTTTTGGTTTGGTTTTGTTTTTTTCTTCCTAACTTTGTATTGGCTTTGTGTCATTTGACTAGTGCATTATTTTTATAGTACCTAAAGGTAAAGATTTTTAAAAATTTTGATGGAGAATTTTGATAAATCATGATGTTGACCTAACTGAAGTTGGTAAATGTGTTTTTATATATGCTAAGAATTTTCTAGTTCTAGGAAATAATGATGAAATTATTATTGATTGAAAAAATTGAATCATTTTTAAAATTACTTGTAGATGAATTCTGACTTCTTTTGGTTAATGTCAGCAATGCTAGATAAAGTACATCTGTTGGGACAAATGATGTAAATGTATTAATTTTTCTGTACAAATTGTTGGTCAGACAAACTTTTTTTTTTAAATAACTTGAGTCCAGTAGCCCCTTTCCTGTCTTTGAATCTCTAGTATGAACTCAAGGATTAGAAAGATAACCAATGAATATGTTTTGTTAGGAGTTTGGTAAAACATTCAAACCTTCTTTTCGTTTTAGAATTGTCAGCAAGAGAATTGGGCATAGTTTTGGAATTGCCTTACTTTAGCATTTTTGTATTCCAAACTTTAAACAGTAGCTCTGTAGGATAAAAACACCAGACCTTCCCCTACCCCAATATAAAAACCTGCCACTTATTCAGTTGAGTAGTTTTCACTTGGTGGAATTGGTTTTCATTGACAAAGCATTTATTGAAGATGCATTCTGTGTCACATATCACGGCATGCGTTGGATAGACACTGACTAGACTGTTGATGGAACTTGAGCCCAGTGAGCTCAGAAGTCAGTGCTGAAAGCTAGGACGCTAAGTATGATCAGATCAAATGCTCTTAGCTTTGCCAAGCTCAACCTGCTGCTCTTAACAACAAAACATGAATGTCGATGTGCAAGGCAAGCTGGGTTCGTCTAGGTTTTGCTGTTTACTCAGAATGTGTTCCTCAGGAGTATCTGCAGAAGGAAATACGTTAGTGTTTTTGCTGAGCCAAGTCTTACTTTCTAGTTCAATTTTTTAAAAAATGATAATATTTAAGATACCACTTTATATGGAAGTTAAATTCCACACTATATAAATTTCCCCCAAAGGCTAAAAATACTTTGTGAGGGGGGAATGCCACTTCTGTCCTTACTATATCCAGGAATCTGGTTGTCCATGATTTACCACAGATCTATTAATATGTACTATTAGCTAGTAACTAGCTGTGTGGAATTGTTCATAAGCTACATTTGGAAAAGTGTTAAAATTACTATGTTTGCAATCTAACTTCTGCTCTGTTGCAGGAAGGATTTATTTGTAATAGATGAATGACAAAGGGTGTTGGAGTATCAAAAATGTCTTTTTGAATGGATTAACCTTTAATGACCATTGTATGCAAATAAAACTAAACCATTGTCTGTTCTTTATTACCTTTATTTCCTAAATTCTTATGAGATCATTATATAAACCAAGTTTCCCCCGAAGACTATTTCAGGTCTCTCCCCACAGCCATGTCTTCTGTGCACTGTAATCTCAGTTCTTTGCCATTACTTAGCTGAATAATTTGTTTATTCAGAGGCCAAAATGCTTAGTTCAAAAATGTATTTTTCATATGATTTAGTTTAATATTTTTTATGTTCCATAGTTTCTATATTCTTGAATGGATAGCTTTCATGTACAAAACAATTTCATTTTTATACAAGTAGGATAACCCAAATAATTATAAAATGTTCACTTGAGTTGAAAGTGTCAAATAAAAAGTTAAGGATACATGGACTAGGGAGATGGCTCAACACTGAAGAGCTCTTGCTGCACAAACAGGAAGACCTGAGTTCAGATCCCTAGCAGGCACCTACAGAGCTGGCTGTGGTCATACTTTGCCCACACCGAGCCTGGCAGGCAGTATAGAAAGAATTGCTGGAGCTTATAGGCTGCTAGTCTAACCCAGGTTCAGTGACTGTCTCACAAGAGTGAGGTAAAGAATGATAGAGCAGGTCACCTGACATCCCACACACACATGCATGCTCACTAACAATAAATATTTAAGGAGATGTATTGCTAAGCTATGAAAATAATACAACTTTAGAATATCTGTCACCAGGAGCTCTTTCTACTGTGTGCATATATCTCTATCCATATGCTTAAGGGTACTAAAAATATCCCATGGATAACCACTATGTGGAATAATAATCATGGGGAAGGGTTAAGAGTAAATACATTGCTGAACTGTAATCCCAGCCCTCAGGAGGTGGGGCTAAGATTGTGAGTTAAAAGTCTTGCTTGGGCAATATAGTAAGACCTTATCTTAAATAGTGAACCCTCCAAAATAATACTTGAATTACATTTTCAAATGCTTTATATTTATGAAGGATTAGTGGGCATAAGTCAGTGAGGCTATTTTGCACATTAAGGAAGGTGCACTTCAAGTTACTTGAAAGAAAAATCAATGATTAGGTAGGGAGCTAGAGATAAAGCACACGCTGTTCTTGACAAGGACCCAAGTTTGGTTCCCAGCACCCACGTCAGGCAGTTCACAAGAGCTAGTAACTCCAGGTCCGTGGGGTCTTCTGGCCTCCACAGGTACCTATAGACATGTGCACATGTACTCACAAAAGTAAATCAATAAAATGTATGGCTCTCACTGAAAATGGAGCCTGATGCCAAACACTATTTCAGATCTTACCGGTGTTTCCTGTTGTGCAGAAGTCACCCCTGACCTTCTGGTGCTAGAACTAACTGCAACTTAGGAAGATGTCCAATGTGGCAGGGGCAGCGTAACTTGTTCGGCATTTGTTTCAAGGATGATATCACTACAACCCAGAATGTGGAATACAGACACATGATCTATCTTCGGTACATAAATTTCCAGGGATGAAAGAAAACCTAAAGCTTAACTTTTTAAAGAATCATTGAATGCAACACGTGGACCACGTTAGGAGACTGATCAAAACAAAATAGGAATGGTGACACAAGCCTGTAACCCCAGTACCTGGCAGGCAAAGATCGATGAGTTCAAGGTCAGCTGGAGCTAATAGTCATCTCGAGGCTCTCGTGAGATACATAATGAGCTTGTCTCAAAATCAAAACAGTTCAAAAACACAAAGTTGAGAGACAGCTCTTCAACCCCATCCCTTTGTTCAGTGCTTAGAGTTAATGCTACACCTCTATTTACATAAACTAAGGTTTTGTAAAGTTGTCTTCATATGAGGGAACGGTTGAGATCACATTAATGAGGCTGGCCAGGAGTCAAAGACGGTTGACACTGGATGGAGAGGCTCTCTGGATATACTTTACATTCTCTGTCATTTAAAAACAAAAATTAGCACTATAATGGTATAGTAATTGAAAAAAAAATGAGTAAACCTGGTGGGTGATTTAGAACTACTAGCCTGGCATTTAAATGGAAAGGTTCAAAGGGACTGAACTAGTGCAAGCTCTGGAGCTGTTCACACCGTTTAAACCATGGACATATCCAACGTGAGCTGATTCAGTCTGTACTTAGTGTTACATGACATCAGACACCTGAACCCAGATATTTTGTAAATGCCATTATTCTTGAGAGCACATTAAGGCCAACAGCCCTGTATTTAGCACTTTTCAGAATGCATTATGAACTTGTTTTGACAACACACACACAGACAGGTAGATTGGGGTTGAGGTTGAAGTATTATTTTATCTGGCCCAAATGGCAACCCAAACTGCTGTTTTCTAAATTTAATGACTACCAAAGAGGGACACCAATTAGCTCAAGTACTTGTTTTTATAAAAATGTACTTTATTTTAAAATGAGTCTATAAAAGTAGAAATCACATACAAAAATACAGATGACTGCGACATGTTGGCAAAAGAGCTCCAGCTGGACTTGAGTAAGGAAGAACTGGTGTGTGTCTGAGGGCAGCTGGGCCAGCGTCCCACCAGAGCCCACTGGCAGCCCATCACTAATCTGTAAACAATAGTTTCAAGTAGTAGTTAGCACTTTAAAACTACTCGGGAACTGAACCATAATCATTCCTGTGTTACACTTTTAAAATGTTCTTTAGGTCTGAGCAGGTAAAGGCACTTATTATTGTAACAGTAACGTTCTTTTGATGAAAAGGTTAATAGAAATGTGTTGCGGCTCTGTTGTATTCAAAAGAGGTAATTGCCTTAATTTTTTCCTTTTCTAAGAAACAAAACTTGATCTTTTTGCTTCTGTGTATCAGGTGTTAAAAAAATACATCTGTTATCAAAAGGTTTAATGCCCCGTGAGTCTTAAAAACGAAGGCGAAGTGCAAGTCGCGCCAGCCGCTTGGAAGCTGCACACGTACCTGCTTCTCGTGCATTTATGATGGAGAGGAAACAGCAGTTCCGCCTAAGGAACTTTAGATCCAGTAACATAATGGGCAGTTTCAAGCCATTGTGAAAGACCACTTAAAAGAATTTCAAGTCCTTGATTTCAGAGTAATATACAAAGACTGCAGCGCTAAGAAGGAAGAAACAGCAGACAAGATCAGCTCAGAACTATCTGACCTCTCGAGAGTGCTGATTAGAATACCATATTTCTAAAACAAAGCGAGTATTTTAAAAAGCTAAACAACCCACATAACATACATTGATTATAAAGTTTAAAAAGCACAATTAGATTTCCTCACCTAATTTAGGATTCTGGGAACACAGCATAGTACCTAAAACCACTGCAGAGTACTTCATATTAACCTGACTTTAAGAAACAGCCTTTTGAGGCTTCAAATCCTCTCCAGTTCTGTCCTTCCGGTTGTGTCTCTCTGTTTCTCATTCAAAGTTCAAGGTACATTATGCAGGACCGTGTTTCTATTCAACTGACTTCACACCCACACACAATGCTGATAGGTGTTCATTCCCAAGAGACTCGGCCTCAGACATTCCAGCCCATGATTCTTTCCTTTCAGCCCACCATACATATAGCTTATTGTTCTTCAAAATCAAGTTTTATAAAATGCTGAATAATTAAATAGATAAAAAGTTATGACAAACACCATGAAAACTGGTAGCCAGGGGTAATTTTAAAAACTTGATTCTAAATAGAATTAATCTGAAGGGCACTTGGAAGAGTTGGCTCAAATTTTGCTTTAAAAAGCTATTTTGAAATAATAGGCTCACCTAAAATTTCCAAAGACCTAACACTTGTGCTCTGAGGACACAGCTGACAGAATCGTCTCTATATTCTTGAAAAAGCAACACTTCATAGTTTTCCCTTGCAAATGGTTCCCTAACATACACGCACAATGAAGGCTAAGGTAAAACCAATAGGAAAGGTAACCACAGTCTCCAGCAAGTGGATTCGCTGTCTGTGCTCCTCATTGCAAAGGAAGAGGAGACGTCATCCTGCAGCAAGCACTTCATACACAACTGGGCTTTTGCAGAGTCAGTCGGCACTTGATACCCCAAATCTCCGGGTTCTTTTTGTTGTCCATAGTTGGCCTTGCAATGGTGGTGAAATAGGCACAATTGATCTGCAGGTGAGGAAGGGCTTCTCTCAATAGCTGCAGGGTAGCATCCGGCACGATTCCAAAAACTTGTAGCGTTTTTAGTGTGGGAATTTCTCCAAGTTCACTGGAAACGAAGAGCAAATTTCAGGATGCATGGCAATTGCTAGACTAATTATTATAAATTGTTTGTGATTTGTATCAGTCTACAAAAATGCAGCCTGAAAACATAATTTATAATAAATGATTAAAGGAAATACCACAGGGAGATAATAGCTGGGAAACATAGCAACCCGGCCCATATGGGTACAGGAAACAAGCCTGTGTGTCTCATTCTGTGTGACTGCTATGGAACTATGAAGTTTATTATAATTTTTAACTGAATTTGCCTCCTTTTTCCATTCTTGATCTATACAGATCTCTGGAAGAATTACTATGATGTAAGCTATTAATTGAGAAACGGTAAATGTTTCACTGTGGTGTCAATTGGAACCACTCGAAGATACATGTGACTTAGGAATCTGGACATGACCTTTATCTGAACTAGGCTCTCTCAACAGAAGACACTAGCAGCATTGATGACTTCTTAGCAATGATGCCCCCCTAACAAGTCCTTACTGCAGTGGAACCCACAAGTGATTTCCTTAAGGTATTTTTTACATGGGATTACATAGACCACAGATTAAAAAAAAGGGGGGGGGGTACCAATTTATAGCAAAGGCCCTGTTAATGATAGGACAGACCTTTTTATATGTGCTTCATGTTAGGTGACATATGGTTGTGTTAACAGTGAGACGATCAGGGGTCACACAAAATTGACCCTGTTTATCAAGGAAAACGCTTTGTGGCTTTGGTACTGACTCTTTTTAACATTGGTCTGTATGCCCGGCTTTATCTCTCCGATCCATGTTTGCTTTAGGTTGGGACACAGTGCAAAGTCTCAGGAAGGGGAACATTTATTTTGGAAATTCAGCAAAAGCCCCTGGCCATCAGTGTGCACAGTGGTGACCTTATGTTGTCACAGTCAATACGTATTCAAACAAAGCAAGTTTGTACTGTCACATGGCTTCCAGTGTCCCAGCCTTCCAGCATATTCCATGCAGCATTCAAGACATCTTTCTAAACAGTTCATGTCACTCACCTACTTCAGAACTACTAGAATCCAGATGGTTTATTAGATCTAAGGACCATCTGTGCTGAACAGGTTCCATGGGGCTTCCCATTACCCCTCTCAAAGTATGGATGGTACAGGTAAGCGCCACAATATTTAGTGTATGTCATGGGTTACAAGACAAATGGCAAATAAAAGCACTACCTAAAAATGAGTATGTCTAGAACCTCCCCTAAGAGTCCAGGGTGAGAGTGCATCTCTCATTGTGGGATGGGCACCCAATGTCCATTTGTATGCAGGAGTCCTGGATGAAATGACAGACTATGGACACCCCCATGGAAGAACTCACCCTCCCTGGGGAAAGGGAGAGGGACGTGAGATTGACATGTGAAGAAACCTTGTTTCTAATTTGAATTTAAATTTAAAAATCCATTTTTTAATAAAAAAAATGAGTATGTCTGCTTCTTGGGACAGTGAGATCAGGTCATAAGAGATCAAAATGAGAGAGTCAAGAGGAACACACTGCAGCTTTAACTTCTGCAATGTAGAAACAGATAGAAAGGCTGTGCACCACAGACCAGGTTATACTCATCAACACCAAAGATGACAGCAATCCTAGCACAACTCCTATGTGAAGTCGGCATTTGAGCACAGGGTCAGACCTGGGAGACGTCAGGTTCTGGGATGACCAGGCAGCCAAGCTGTGAGTCATGTGCAATGGATGACATCTAAAAGCGGAACTGGGTGGGAGGACGAGAAAGAAGAGTGAAGGCAGATGGCAGAGAAGGACGCATCTTTGCGGCAGCACTGAGAGGAGGCTGGTGAAGACGGCTCTCACGTGGTGCTCTCGGCATTAGCGTGAGAGAAGGGAGCTGCAGAAGACAGGACAAGAACCACCGCCTCTTGTGTGCATAGGCCACAATGCAGACAGAAACAAAGTCATAAGCTTCTCTGCCTTCACAGCAGAAAAGAAGAGGGAACCATGTACAAGCCACTCTCCATTTGTGTAAGCTAGTAAGAATGTCTTTTAAGGCTTTGTTCAAGTTTAATAAAAGGCATTCATCACACAAGAGGTTGAAGATCATAGGCCAGCCTGGGGATAAACACTGCGACTGGATCTCACAAACAAACCAACAAACAAAAAGACACTGAGAAACTTGGAGGTTTGCTCTTTATTGCATCTATACAATCCTGTTTCCCTTTAAATACAAAATGCCTTACTTTTAACTCTTAATTTCAAATCAGTTTTCTTTCCAACTTGGGTTTATTATTACGGACTAAAAAACAGGGAAATAAGACCAATTAAGGTAAGAGTCACTATAGCAGGGTCTGCAGGGATGGGAAACCTGACCCTTTTGAAGTATTGTAGAACACAATCAAAGATTCATATGTTGCTTCCCCACTTCTGAGATAAGACAACTATTTTGCAATACAGATGGCCGTTCTGTGGATAGTATTCCTGAGACACATTGGGATTCCTATTAAGAACTTCAAATGCATTAGTTGCCAGAATGACAAATCTTATGAAAAGGACTCGAATGAATTCATCTTAAAGGAGCTTCAATGTAAACCACTAGTATGTCCATGATGCTCAAAGAAGCATAGCAAGTTCAAGGACAACAGCATCTTGTTTGTATTCTACTCTGCTGCTCAGATGGGAAACTAAATCCCTTGATGGTCTTATTTCTTTAAAGATCAGGCTTTGACAAGTAATTAGGCTGAGGTTCACATCTCCACTGAGGGACGACTATGCAGGTAAACCATGATGCCACTGGATAAACATGAGGCATCACAGCCCCCCCTTGTGTCTGATAGAGGGAAAGCAAGCATTTAGGTACTGCTTAGCTCCTTTTCACAGTGGAGGAACAAAACCCCAGACTCACTGAAGAAACCAGAAAAGAAAATTCTCCTAGCGAGCTGCCCAGGCAGACTTGAAGCCCAGATGGCAAGAATGGATGACAGAGGAGCCTTTTGTGAGGACACTAGTAGTTTCTAGGAGTTCTGGAAAATACATGCAGGGATTTGGATCCGAGTTCCATGCATATGAGTTTGAGCTGCAACATTTGCGAGACATTCAAGAAAGATCAGCATTTTTTTAGGCAGTGTTTTTCCAAACGGCATACTACTAGCTAAGGCCCATGAGACTAGTTGAAATGATTAATTCAGTCATATAATTACCAGACTTTCAAAATTTACTGAACTCTCCACAGATCACTTATTACTCAAATTGTATGATATAGCCTATATGAAAAATATTGTTTTCAAACTCACCATTTTTAGGTGAATTATTGCTGACAATCTGATAGCAAGACAAATAATAGAGTAGTCTTACTCAAGCCATATGACTCTCTGCAGTAAAAAGAAGGGCACCTGACCAAGTGCAAGACACTGACCTCTTGTGGTTTTCAATGAAACTGCTATGCATTCACATTTGGTATAAGGAAGACTACTATAGCCCTTTGAAATGAAATAAGCAATGCCTGGAGATAAGAGACTTAATTTTCACGGACCCACATAATACACCCTCTGTTTAGATAGCATCAGACTCTCATACACGTATGCCAATTCGTCATCTTCCTTGGCTATCTGGGACTCCCATCACTAGATTATAGAACTTTTCTGTAAACCCAGACACAAGCTTTAAGAATGAACAGCAAACATTTGAAACAATCCCGCTCACATTGGCTCTGCCTCCCAGACTCACAGTGAGTTCCTTAGAGGTAAAAAGCTTCCTTTTGTAACTCCTTCACAGATACTAGGATAGCATTCTAACATGGTGATGCTGACAGTTAAATAATAAATGTTAATGAACTCAGCCAGTTCAACTGTACCAGACATTTTTGGGTTTTGGTTTTGGGTTTTTGAGACAGGGTTTCTCTGTGTAGCTCTGTAGGCCAGCCTGGCCTCAAACTCACAGAGATTCACCTGCCTCTGCCTCCCAAGTGCTGGGATTAAAGGCATGTACCCCAACGCCTGGCTCTGTACCAAACCTTTTAAGCAAACATTCTGTGAACTATTTTGATATTCCCTCCTAGACATTTTGTATCATATCAATGTTAATGTTCACATTGCGAGCATCCATTAGTAATGATGGATTTTACCACTGAGTGCTAGTCCCCGCTGTCTACTGGCACAAACACAAAACATACTTACAGTAGAGTTTCGGGTATTATATCATAGCACCGGCTGAGTGAGAGGTGTTGGAGGTAGTTGAGTTGAAAGAATTCTGGAAAGCAGTCATTCTTCAGCATGATACTGTCACTGTAACAGAGAGGAAAATTCAAAACCAGCCACAGGTTGAGAGGAGCACTGCTTCACTCCTCATTACAGCCTTTCCCCATTTCAAAAACAACCAACGCTTTCCAAACTGTGATCGAAAACAAACAGTACCTTAGGTCGAGGCGGACAAGGTTGGGGCACCGTTTAATTAAGGTACAAAGATCTAGGAAAAACAAACGAGATGGTCACTGTTAAATAAGGAAGGAGAAGAGGGTGTTTAATTACGGTACAAAGATCTAGGAAAAACACACGGGACCGTCACTGTTAAATAAGGAAGGAGAAGAAGGTGTTTAATTAAGGTACAAAGATCTAGGAAGGAGAAACAGGGGTTTGCTTTCGCTGCTGTAATTCAGCGTCACACTGGAAGTTAGAAAAGGTCTTCATGTAGAAAACTGCCTGCTGAGAAAATCCAAGCGAGCACCTGGGAATCTGCTGTGAATGCTACAGGAGCTGTGTGAAACCCCTGGATGGCAACTATTTATGTAGCAACAGTAACTGGCTGGAAAGAGAAGAGGAAATCCCAATTCATGATAGCCAAGGAAACAAACCCAAATGCCAGTACATAAAGGCAAACGGTATTATATCAAGATGGCTCTTCAACTTAGTGAGGCGGAATCATGAACTATTTCCAAAAAAAAACTGTTGTTCCACAAGTGTAAAATGAGTTTCCAACTCAATTTACAACCCACATATGCTTAGGTTCTAAATGCAATTTTTCAAGGAATTATTTGCAGAATTTTGGGTTGGGTAGAGAGTGTATAAATAAAGAAAAACTATGTAATCTACAGAAACAAAAAAATCTTAAAATTCTGCCACTTAAACCAGGCATGGTTGTGCAGACCTGGAATCCCAGTACTAGGGAGACAGAGGCTGAAGAGCTGCTGAGAACTGTAGACCACTCTGGTCTACACAGCTGGTTCCAGGCCAGCCAGGGCTAGATAGTGACACCTGCCTCAGAAATCAAAACCTAACAAAAACTCCTGTATGTCAGAGCATTTAGAGAATCATCAGAAAATGATGCGTATTCAGCATAAGTTAAACAGATTAATAGTCTTTTGTAAGAAAAGGATAAACAATAGACCAGGGGCATAAAGACATATTAACAAAGCAGATAAGAGAGCAGGAAATACTTCAGCAAATAGTTTCTGGGCTGGAAAGAAGCTCGGACGAGGAAAAGCTCTCGCTAGCAAGTCTGACAGTTTGGTCATCCCTGAAACCCACAGGTGGAAGGAGAAAGACTCCAGCAAGTTCTCTGACCGCCACACGCTTGCCGTGATACACTTCCCCAGAGCCTCCACTTTCCAAAATGAATACATGTAAAACAAATGCCAGGAAATGTTTTGCATGAAAAACAAAGCAAAGTACACATAGATACACAGTGCACTGTAATCTTAATCTAGTCAAAACACACCCATACAAACTCATATAAATAGAGAAAAGGAAACGGGCTAACAAGTACTGACATCATAAGCATTACAGAACTTGGAAGAGAGTGACGTGAACCGAGCTACTTTGTAAGATTTTAAATGTTACTTATTTAAAATTGACAAACTCCATTTAATGTTTGAATGTTTACTGTCATAGCTGTAACTGCAGCCACACTTTCCCCTATATTAGTTTTGTACTTTCTAATGCTTTTTCAACATACTGGTTTGGCTGTGTGATAGTCACAATTTGTTTAAAACAGTCAGTTTCTGCCCTAAGTCTGTCCCCGTTTTCTCAACTCCTTCCTGCCTTAGTACTTCATAACCCCAAGGAGAGCGCCTGAGGCCCAAACCTGGGAATCTCACTTAACTGCTTTCTCTCTTTCCATATCTAGTCTGTCCCCAAATGCTACTAGGTCAGCTTCCCAAATGTGCCCAAACATGGTCACTTCTTAGCACCTTAACTGGGACCACCCTAGTTTCCCAACTGTCCTCCCTGTTCTCAGCGTGGGCCAGAGTGAACAGTGTAAAGCCGACGGTGTCACTGCTCCGCTCCCCACATTCCACGGCTTTCTGTGCTGGCAGCCCCACCCTCAACACCCTCCTGTAGTACGCCAGCTCCCAACACCAAAGGCCCATGTCCTTGTGGTCAGCCCTTTCTTCCAGAATGTTCTCCCACAAGCCTCTGTGTAGCTCTCTCGTCTAAATGAAAGGCACTGTCTTTGATCACTGCATCTAGTTCCAGAATGTTCTCCCAGGTATTTATGTCTCATGCAACCCGAGCCTCTCCGACCATTCTACACAAAGGTAGTCCTTCCCGACACACCCTACGCACTCGCTCTGCTTTGTTTTCCTTTTCAAATTTTATTCATGTAATTTATTCTCTCCTCATACACCATACTGCACTTTCCCTCCCTCCACTCCTCAGTCTCCCCACACCCCCTCTCTCCCGCAGATCCACTCTTCCCCCTTGTATTTTCAACTCCATTTGGGAAGTCTGCCCACCACAGATCTGCTTGGCTTTGTGTATGTTTATGCTGTCTTGACTTCTGAGAATAACCGTCTAAGTCTACAATTAGAATTTAAAGTGTTAAAAGGTAAAATGTTTAAAGTACTAGGTAGAGAGAGTGATAGGAAATGAAGAGATGGCTACAGCTTTCAGGAGTCTGTCTGAGGACAGTCATTTGCAATGGTGGTTGTTCAAATGGGAGTCCTTATACAGGGAATGGATTTATACCTCTGGGTGGCCACTCATACTCCCTGCAGTCTGACAGTTCATTCCTATTTATTATTAACCCGAAGAAGTAGTTTCCAAGTGCTACTTAAATGTTTAGAAACATTTCAAGATGTTTGCTTCACAATAAAAACTTCAGTAAGCATATTACCATACCCAGATGAGCCAACAACACCTTGAGACAGGGTTGATTTGAGCACCTTAGTTTATTTGATCTTGTGCTGCCCAGATTGAATATCAGCTGGAGACTGAGTTATGAGCCTGTTAAAAATAAAAATTCCTCTTGCAACCACTTTTGTGTGCAAATTAAGACTCTCAGTGTCACACACGCAATACAAAAGCTCAGCCAGGGGTGAGGCTTTATCAGTAACTCGGCTGCTACCTACCCTACTTCAAACGCCTGTGTGCATCAACATTGTCTTTTAGACTGAATCGAAAAGTAGGTGTAAATATGAACTTATTGACTGGGTTCCAGCAGGAATTTTCAATCTTAACTGCTGACATTTTGGGCCAGATGACTCCAGAGTTTCTGTGCAGTTCAGCAGCACTTCTGGCATTAACCACTAGATGGCAGCAGAACCCCTACACCGAGACAGCTATTAAAAAAAAAAAAAAAAAAAAAAAAGCTCTCCAGACTTTGCAAAGCTGTCCCTAGTTGAAAACAACTTCTCACACAGTCATCCTTTTGTATCCCTAGGGTTTGACTCTAGGATTACATTTGGATGCTCAGATCCAAGGGCACTGAAGTCACTCTATACATCCTCTTGCTGACTTACAACACCTCATATGATGAGTGCATGCAATTTTTTTTCCTGAAAAATTTTAATGAGTTAACAGCTGAATCTGGATGGGTCTGGGGTTAAGAGCACTTGTTGCTCTTACAGAGGACCTGAGTTGTTTGGGTCCCAGCATTCACAGGGCAACTCAACTCTAACTCCAGTTCTAGATCTACTGCCCTTTCTGGTCTCTGCGGGCACTGCACACATGTAGGGTACAGGCATGAATATAGAGAAAACACCCATACATATAAGATAAAAAATAAAGATACATAATTTTTTAAAAGGTGGAGAGGCACTAATGAAGTCACTTGGTGTTGACCTCTGACCTCCAAGTACACGTGCACAGACACACACACGCACACACACACACACGCATGCACACGTTGCTTTAAAAGATCCTCTGTCTAGATCCTGAGTTCACAGGTTGACTCTAGTTCAGAAGCTATTTCCCTTGGCCTAACTCTTCCTCTGCTGACGATATACACAGTATGCGCACTGGACGAAGGGAGACAGTTAGGTAGCAGAAACTTCACCGGCGTGCCACGCAGCAAATCTATGACAGTTACAGCCTCGGTGGCCCCGGCCTGGAAGCTCTAACCTGTTTTCTGGAGGTTCTTTCGGTAGCCACTGAGGTTGAGCTGGGTGATGGTTGCTGATAAATGCGCCACCGCTGCTTGCACATGCTTTTCAGTAAACTCAAAGCACCAGGAGAGATTCAGTTCATCCAGTCTGCACGAGGGAAGAGTGAAGAAAAGGGAAGCATGAGCCCATCAGAAGGACGAGGGTGACTTGAGCTGCACAAGCCAAAAACATCAAACCAGGTCCCCTACCACTCCATGCACAGACCACCGCTCTGTGTCGTTCACTTGAAACTGCGTTCGCTCTGCTCTAAACACCTAAGTGCCTGCAACTTACCTGGCAATCAGAGCAAAGGCCGAAGCAAATACCCCCTCCTTCTGGGGATACAGGTTGAGAGCTAGCGCCTGTGTGTTTCTTTCTCAAACCACCTAGGTTGTTGTCAAAAAAGCATCCGACAGCTATCAACTCAAATGTTTTATAAAACCCATGGATCAACTACTAATAGAAGAGAAAAAGATGCTACAAAAATCCAGTTCTTCCTGCTAAGAGAGCCAATGAGTTTAAGTCAACGTCAATCTCTGTACTCTGCTGACTGAATATAGTGCTGCATATTGTCTGCCCCATCATATTCTGATCCAAAGGCAATTTCTTTTTGAGAGATCACTAAGACATAGATACAAAAGGTATACCAGAAAGATAAAGAGAGAGTTAATACAAAGAGCATATACACATGGTGTTGTGTATTCTGTACGCACCATGTCGCCTCTCGCTTAGTACATGGGGTCTCCCATATTAAATATGGTTTAGTTAGGTATAAATCAACCCCACCGTGACAAACACATTCCTCCACCTCCCTTTAACAGAGAAAAGGGATCACCGTCCAAGTATCTTCCCCTTACTTTGAGTTTAGCCTGAATGTTCTTTTGTGGCAGACACTACATTGCCCAAGTCAAGAACATAGCATCACTCAAAAGTCCATCCAGACACCCAGACTCGAAGCTTAACTGTATTTGATACAGCTCAGATCAGCTTTCCTACCTGCAACATTTGCTTAGCAGAGTCGCCACCGCAGATTCGGAAAAGCCAGAGCACCCACAAAGGTTTAGTCGCACCAAGTTTTCATTCTGTGAGAGAGTGCTAGAAAAGAGAGAAAGAAATTGCATCAATGCTGAGTCTGGGGCGGGGAGCAGGTGAATATAATTGTAATTAAGCACGCACACTTGTGAGTCAGAAGTGGGTTTAGAAGTTACATCTCACTCCTCGGACACAGCAGAGTGACTGCTTCAGTTACTCAGGTGCAGACTGGCAAGAGCAGTATCTTTCTGCGGGGCTAGAAACAAGACTGAGCCATGTACTGAAGGGTCTGCAAAGCACTTGCAGTGTAAATGCACAAGAAACGCCAATGTGTGCATCTTTAAGTTCAGAGGCTTGCCTTCAGAGGGAATGTCGGTGATGAAGAACCATTGTTTTAGAGTTAAGTCTTGGTTGGGTACTGATTACCTGTGTGAACCTGGACAAGCTAGTCAGCCTCTCTGTGCCTCAGCTTTCACAGACGGAGGAGGGAACAAGAGCTTAAGGCGGGTGCTTGCTCTCAGAGTTACTTTTAACTTAGTGTCTGCCACATACTTGCTACCATTCTCATTCCATTCTTTCTATCAGGCTTCACTGAATCTCATCTGAATAGCGCAGTGGCATAACTTGTATGTCTAACTAAGCCCATGTGGTACCTAGGAAATTAATCAAATTTGTTTCAACCGGACATGGCTCTTCCGTATTCAGAACTGTGATGCACCATGCTTCACGGCCTCTTTGCAAACTACCGGCCTCCACAGAAGGTCATTATAATGCAGCCATGATTCTCCTCGTCTCCCTGATTGTCATGCTCTACTGGCAACTACCAGCTACTTGGGAGTCCAGTGCAGCAACAGCTTTCCTGAGGCTGCTTCCAACATCCTGTCACTTCTGAGATCTCCTACCTGATAAATAAATGGCCAGCCTACTCTGAGAAGTGTGTCCTCCTTAAGTTCAATTAGGCCTCCCTGTATGTTGCCACATAACCACCAATGCATTTAATGAACACTGTACTGTATTTATCTGTCTCACCCATGAATGAGGCACAGACCACACACTGTTTGGCCTTCTACCTATCACACCTACGACAGGGCTCGGCATATGATCAGTATTTAATCTTCTGCTCCCTTGAAGGTCCTGGACAGTTCTGGATATTTGGTACACCCTTCTGGACATGTATATAAGGACACTGTAGTCATTCACAAGAAACACTGCCATACAGAGCAATGTCTTTGTGACATATTTCAGGTGCCACTCACTTGACAATGGGATCCGAAAGCTGCAGGCCTTCCAGGCTTAGATTCTGCAACTTGGAGCACTCAGACAGAATCCCATGGAGGTTTGACACATTTATAACTGAGTTGGACAGGTCCATGTGCTGCACACGAAAAGAGCTGAATATGGAGGAGAGAAAAGAGGCCCTGTGAGGTGGCTCACACAAGCACACTCAGATCCAATTGACCCCTTCCTGTCCCCACATGAGCAGGCGATCACAAACAGGAATAAGTATACATTTTAAATACTGAAGATCTGGTTATAAAAATTTCTTCTAGCTAATTCCCATCCTCATTCGTTTTTAAAATTCAAGATTTGTCAAGTATAGATGTTGCTGCCAACATGGTCCCAGTCAGAAAATTAACAGGCAGATATCACAAGAATGAGCTAGGTTCACGTGCCCAGGGAGTGGGGTAAGTCCATGATGACTCCTGGTTGCTGGCGGAGGCTGAGTGGGTGGGCAACAGTGTTTACTAAGACAGGGAGCACAGCGGAGGAACCGGTTTTAATGGGAGGGCACGTTTACTTCTAGATGGGCTAATACTGAAGACTCCAAAGAAGTCCAGAGTTGGAAGCTTTTCGGTAATTCGAACTAAGGATTGTGAAGAGGACCAGGCTAATGAAAGGGTTTAGAATCCTGAGCATGAGTGTGTGCGCACAGGACACAGCTTGTCTGAGAACAGCATGGGGACAAGAAGGACAAATCCTGGCGTGAACACAGGGGAGGCTGAGGAGACGCAGCAGCGTGGGAAAATAAGAGCAGCGGGGAGGAGACGGACCATGGGAAGAAGGGGACGGTACTAGGATGGGGACTTGCTCTACTGTCTTTAGCTTGCTTTTCTCTTGCGTATGTAACTATTCTCCTTAGGCATCCGACGGCACGAAACCTTAGCATTCCATAATTTGCAGCGCCAGAGAAGCAGTTTGTCAAAACAGAATACAAAACAAGAAAGAAGGCAATTTTTTCAGGTTGCAAATCTGCCCGTGACTGGACAGGAAGCCCATGATGCAAGTATGAAAATATGCCCCCCCCCCGTTATGGAGGGCAATGGGGATGGAAGTAGCAGGCCATCATTCTCTGATGTGGCCCCAGCACAGCTCTGGCGCTAAGGATCCACAGCCCGACAGCCCCACTCACACTGGGTGGCTACAGGAGCCCTGTTTTCCTTGCAGAGAATGGCATGGACCCAGGGTCTTGCATGTGCCAGGCAAGTACTCTACCACTGAGCCACACCCTCAGACGTCCTACGTCAACATCTCTGACCCTGGTGAAAGCCCATCAGTAGTAGCTCTTAAACCCATGCCATGCCTCAAGCCAGAAGTCACACGGCACAATATGCAGCCCACACTACAGACAGCCCCTCACAGGCTTAAGTCTCAACAAAGGACAAAAGGAGTGTCAGCTGTTTGCACTCTAACATTCGTCATTTCTCTTTTACCTGAAACTTTCACCCAATGGTTGCTCCATAAAGGACCGCGGGCACCGGAAGGCGATCACCCCTCGAGAAAGTAAGCGAACAGTCACATCTGGGTGCAGATTTTTACCTGCCAGGTCAAGGGACTGCCAGAGAGACTCATCGAGCCTAAAACAGAGAAGGCTTGACTTGGTAAACTGGCCACAGTGAATTCTGGGGACCCCACAGACACATAAAAGTCACTACAAACACGGGAGCCACAGCCACTGAAGAGCTTTTGCTTCCAAGTTGACAATGCAATACTAAACATTTCTTGCTTACAGTACCAATGAGCTTTCATCTGTCTCTTTCTATATTTTCATTCTAGATTAGCAAACGCTAAAGCTAGAACTGCAACTACCCTGGAACCCAGAGAATAAAATCCTATCATTGAGGGGAATATGACAAGTTTAAAAATCTCTTAAAAATGCTCATTACTAATTGAGTAAGTTCCAAACTTCTCAAACAATACTACCGTCCATTCTGTTAAGTGTTGACAGGTTGCCACGGTTACCAAGGTCCATGAAAAGAAAAATGAAGGAAGAAAAGCTGGTATTATTTTATGAGACACAGCCAGGGAAAAGTCAGAGTGGCTCTGCTCCACGTTCATGCGGACAAGTGTGGGTGTGCATATTTATATCAAAGTTAAAGGAAAGCGTTTCTAACACAAAAGGGGCACAGCTTGTCTGAGAACTGTGAGCTTCAATCAGTGGTTTTTCTTCACCCTTCATTTTGTTTTTATTAACATGTATATGTCTGTGTAAGCAGACACCATGTGTGTGTGGGTGCCCTCCAAGGCCAGCTGGAGTTACAGGCACTTGTGAGCTGACTGAAGTGGGCACTGAGAAATGAACTCAGGTCCACTGGGACAGCAACAAGAACTCTTCACCACTGAGCCATCTCTTTAGCCCGTACAATAAGAGTTTAATATCCACAGCTAAGTTCAGTCAAGAAGGAAGAAACACGAAGTGCAAGCACATTAGGGAACATTTGAAATGCCTTAGGGAACTAGAAATTTCTCTTTTAAATAAATATATTTGAAATAAACACTTGATTGGTTTTGAAATAATTTTGTTACAAAAAATTTGCTATGATTTGACTATTAAAAAGGTAGACTATAGATAGGATATCCTTAAGAAAGTGGCAAGTGTTGTATCTTTTTCTTGTTCACACTGAAATCTACTGAGAGAGAGAGGTAGAGAGAGGTAGAGGTAAAGAGAGAGAGAGAATCAATTCAATTCTTGATTATCTCAGATCTCAATGTCTCTCCTTTCAAAGAAGTAGACAATAGCTGACTTAGTATTCTAGAATAACCCAGGACAAATTCTGGAACATTCACTTTGCCCCAAATAACACAGTGTTCACATGGAGAGGGAAGATGAATTCAGCAGCCACCCAAATCCTAAGCCAAATGTAACTACAAAGGGTTAAGGCGGGGGAGCTGACAAGACCTTAGTCTTATTTTAAGGTTTACTTTACAAACTACTGATCTTGACCTTGTAGCTTCTACAACTCATAAACTAGAGCAATACAAAACTGGCATCTCAGTCCATGTGGAAGACTAAATTGCTATGTCAGATATTATTTTAGCACAATGGAAATGATCACTGACCCAAAGGGAAGATGCAGGTCAAAGATGAGGTAGGTACACAGAATAAACAAGCCTTGGGAGCTAACCTGATGACTAGGGCTTTGGGAATTTTTGCTAAAGAGCATATTTTAGGTGCTTTAGCCACAACCACACCCACGGGGGGCGCGGAGGCACGCGACACTAAGATTATGGGTTAATTTGCTTGAGTGCAGTAGCTACTTAGTGACATATCTATAGCAAAACATATAAATTGCATACCTTAAATTTGTGCAAGTTTTTATAAAGGTTAATAGATTTTTTTGCATGGTGTGAACAAATGCATATCTGGTGGGGGGAAAAAGTCCCTTGGCTGGGGATGGTGAAATGTAGCCACTACTGTGCAAACTTTTTCATCCCCTAAAACAACTAACTACTGAGGCTTGGTTCTGGGGGAGTGTATGTAGCTCAGATAAAAGCTCTTGTCTCACATGTCTGAGGCCCTGAGTATAATCCACAGCACACCAGAGAACAACAAAAATCCCTGATTTCATCACTGTCACTACCTTCCTGGTTCACCCCCCACACACACACACATACACACACACAATTTAAGTGTAGCCAAGAGTCAGCTAAGACTACCCCAAATGGCCCATGCCTATGAGCCAGGCAATGACTGTATTAGCACCTTTCATGTTATCCTATGACTATCCCATGATGAAAATGCAATTATGGTCATCTTACATCCAGTGTAGCCAGGCTTAGAAGTGACGAGTAACTTGTTTAGGTCATACAGTGCATATGTAAAAGAGGCTGGATTCACACCCTGTCCAAGGTCAGAGTCCTGTACCCTTCCCCTGTGTTTCCATCCTCGTCTTCAGTATTTGGCTGTCTTGCTACCCAACACAACTTCCCTGATCTTAGCACACTGCCTGGTCTAAGCAGGTATATACCTCACAAGCAAGTGCAGAGCTGAACACAGGGCAGAGAGGCAGTCAGAAATGGGGTAATAGCCTACAGAAGACTCCTCTCTCCAACTGGGAAATGAGGAGACAGACTTGTAACTATAGTGAAAAGGCATCTAGTTGGCTTGGGGCAGTTTGTTCTTCTTGGTTGTTGGTTTCACCAGACACAAATGAGCACATAAGCTTCGCCCTTCTCTCCCCTACATATCTGTCCCAAAGGGTGAAAAATACTCACGAGAGGCGGTACCACCTCTTGCAAACCCCAGAGACCCTCAGCAGCTCAGGGAGGCACAGGCAGGAAAAGATTCCAAGGAGCAGCTCATCTGGAAGGGAATCCCAGGAAACACCTGCAAGGAGGCAAAACAGGTTTCCGTCGCTGAATTTTTCCTAAGCATTTATCAGGCACATGCCACTTAGCTTAAAGGGGGCTTCAAGCAAACTGAAATTTTTATCCTCACATTTATTTTTCCATAGAATTCACTGACTTATATATACATTGCGGTGTTTTGAATGACATGTTCCCCATATTCTTGGACAGATAGTGATGCTGTTTGAGTAGGTTTAAGAGGTGTGACTTTGCTGGAGAAAGTATGGCACTTGGGTGGGCTTCGAGCTTTCAAAGCCCCAAGCCACTCCCAGTTAGCTTTCTCTGCTTCCTGCTTGCGATTCAAGATGTGAGCTCTCAGCCTGTCCTGCTGCCAGGACTCCCTGCCATCACGGACTCCTCTCCCTCTGGAACCGTAAGCCCAAATGAACTTTCTTCTCTAAGTTGTCTTGGTCATGGTATTTATCACAGAAACAGAAAAGTAACAAAGACACACACCCTACAGTGAGCATCCCACCTTCTCAGCCATGAGAAACAAGACTATTTCTCCAATTGTTATTCCCCTAGGAACCAGCTAGCCAAACACTGGCAGGGACAGGGTGATTAACCCTGGCACAGAACAAGTCCCCAGCCAGCCAATACACCAGGATACTTGAAGCTATAAAGTGGTCCTCTGGTGTGGACTTATATAAGGGCAAATGGCCCTTCTTCTGTCTTGGAGAACAGAAAGCACATCCCAGTCCATGCACCTAAAAAAGCAATTTTGGAAAGATGTTCTCATTTCTTGTTTCTTTTGGTTTTTGGAGACTGGCCTTGAACTCAGAGATCGGTAGGCTCCCAAATGCTGGGATTAAAGGCGTGTACCATCACCGCCCAACAACTGCTCTGCTCTCCTTTCTTAATTCAACAAGTATTTCAAGATTCTCTGCTACCTAGAGTGCCAAGGATTTCAGGTGTTAAGGGAAGATTGGCAGATAAAAGTAAGACCAATGAAATACCTCACCTGATTTCATTATTCACTCATCTGTATAGGCCCCACTTATCCATAAGATCTTGCAAAAGAAAATCTGATTTGTTTTTACTTACTAGGAAATAAAATTTGATCCATTCACATATTCACTGAACACGAGTCTCACGGTTTGTTCTAGGGATGCAAAGAGAACCTAAGCACAGGCCTGATCCTTTAGCTCTATGTAGAATCTGAGAGACAAAGAAACATTCCAAGGATGGTGCTTGGATACAGGAGGGCCCAAAAGTCTAGACGATATCTAGGGCAGAAGAGTGGTCAGGGAAGTTTTCTGGCAAGTAGTGGCTCTTTATTGCTCAACCAAGGCCTGTTGTTGTCCCTTTCCTGTGTTTTTTAACCATTTCCCATGTTTTAGACATGGTCTCAATGCCATGTACTCCACTAGCATTGAACTCAGCTGAAGGCTGATTCTACAGCTTGAATTCCCGATCCTCTTGCCTCTATTTCTCAAGTGCTGGAAGTTGAGATTTTCCTAGGATTTACAGAGAACATCCTGCCCCATCCCCGTTGTATCTGAGAATTACTATAGTAAGGAAGAACTCAGCTCTCATTGGAATCCTAGTCATGCTCCCAGTCTGTGAAGTTGAGTAACTGAGTCTCTCTAGGCCTGTAGGAATGAGAATAAACAGGTTTACCCCGCAGAGCTATTCAGTGTGGAGCTAAGGTGATGCAGATTTTAAATAATGCAGTTATTAAATAATGCAAGATGTCCTGCCCAGATATCCTTTCTTTCCTCACTAATCAGTCATTTTCCTTCTCTGATTTTTTCTTTTCTTTTCAATGCTTCTTGGATATTCATGAACGGCAAACCCCAAGACCAGAAGAGTGCCCTTACAAATGCTTTCCCAATCCTGTACCTCCCTCTATCTGAGCTGATGATCTCCAGAAGCAGGTCCTGAGGGTCTGTCTTCAAGGAGTTCATCTGCCATTTACATAATGACAGGAAGCACTGGAGACACAGGGAAGCCAGACACTGAGTAGAGGGAGGCCAGCTGTGGCATGCTAATAAGCAGCTTGTTGCTATCACCAGTTTAGACCTTCAGGGGTTCCTGGAGAACCTGTGGAACCTGCCTCTGAGCTGTCCCACCTACGGGTATGGGTGCTAGAGTATGAGTTCCCCAACTGCTATTGATCATTAATTCTGGGCTCAGTGTCAACCCCTCAGCAACTCTGCCCAGCGAAAGCCTTGGAGCAGAGATTCATCTGTGTTTAGGAGACAGCTTTGGGCACTAAGGAAAAGGTGAGTTGCAAGGGTCTATGGGCCAGCCAACAACAGTGTCCATTAAAGATGGTGTGGGGATGGAAATTAGAGAAGCATGCCCAGCAATGCAAGGTGGGAAAGAAAACTAAATGATCATATTTGGTGCTTCCTATTTTATTAGGAAGATCTAAGAAAGCAGAAAAAAATAGAACAGTAGGAAATGGTCACATGATAGGAGGAGTAGCATAATGCTCAATGCAAAGACAACAGACCCTGGCAACAAAGTCTTGCAAGAAAACAGTCGAATGTAAGGAAAGCTTTGTAGTATAGCTTGTCCCAAATTTCAGCTTAAAAGACACCTGCTCAGAGAAGCATTTCCAGGTCACCACCAAAGTCCTACTCCTGGGGTTGCATATCCAGCAATGTGCAGTGACCAGCATGTGATTGACATTTGATGAATATTTGCTAAGTGAATTGAACCTTTATTCCTGTTAATTCTTAGTGTTACTGGCTAACTTTCTTTAACCAATCAATTACCCTATGTGTAATGCTAAGAACAGAAGTTGACACTGAATATTAGAAACTGCCTGATTGACATTTCATGTAGGAATGACTAACACCCCAGAGAAGAATGCTGGTTTTATTTTAAATATGGGCAAGACTGTTGGTCTCATTGAATCAATTTCCTCATTTCAACAATAATAGATTGGCTTGTAACAAACATCATAGGTGGTTTTTTGATTAATAGACTAGTTTTGAGAACTGGGTATGAGGCACAGCTCATGTCCAATAGCCTCACTGGCAAATGGGCTATTAAATGAATATATAACATAACAATTAAAATAGCCATCTACTAGAACCCTGAAAAACTCTTGCCATTTGTGAAAGTACACTAATGCCGATCTTTGCAGCAACCTATATACTACATATTATAATTCCCGTTTTTACATATAAGGACATTTATCTCAATGATGCCAAATGATTTCACAAAGGTGGCATTAATTATTGGGTAGATGGCAGAATCAAGAGATTTCTAGATTCCCAAGACCTAAAGTAAGGCACATGGTCACAAGGCGTGGAATTGTGAAGTTCCTGATGGAGGAGGGTACTGCAGGCATGAGTATAATTGCTGGAAGACAGCACAGCACACATACCTCTGACACATGGAAGGGATGGAAGACAAAAGAGCTCAACAAAGCATGATGAGATGCTAAGAGGTATCAGTGAGTGTACCACCAAAAGGGAGGAGCAGGTCCAGGACACACAGAGCCTTAGCTAACTAACAGCAAGGTACCTAGCTCCATTCAGTTGACTATACAGGACAACCCCAGACCTGGGGCCCCTGGGTGGAGGTGGATGAGCCTGGAATTGGCTGCTATCCCAGCAGATGGGGCAGAAATTTGTCTCCAGTAGTTGTGCTGGTGGCTGAAATCCAGACTGTGATACACTTAATCTAATTTTACTTGCCATATTTAATTCTCAAAACATCAGCCATCTGTTTCCTGGATTCTTGACAACATGGCTGCCTGGTCCATTTGCAAGCACAGGAAGGGAATATCCAGGGCTTTTCTTCACTTGCTTCTGCAAAAACCACCAAGGCTTTGCTCCAGTGGTATGTAAAGGTAGCTAACCACCACTGCTTCCAATTTCTCCTCAGACACAAACCCAGATTCCTCATCTGTGTTCAACTCCCCATTCCCTTCAAATTCCTTGGGAACAAGGGTGTGAAGGGTCTCTGTAGCACAGCTAGATTGTCATATTTGATCAATTTCTTTCTCAGAATATTGACAACACTCAAGATTCAAACTGCCTATTCCAAAATGACTCTAATGATAGCCTAAATTCTAATTAAATGCACAGATGTATCTGTGAGCATGTATGCATACGTGTAAGTGCCCACAGAGACCAGAGGGTTGGATCTTCTGGAACTGGAGTTACAGGAAGTTGTGAGCTGCTAATAGGAATCCAGTTGGGATGCTCTCAAAGAGCAGTAAGTGTACTTCACTGCTAAGCCTTCTGTAGGCTCTCCAAATTTGACTTTTAAGATTGTTCTTCAGCAGGGCTCTCTAGTACATACCTATAATTCCAGAGCTTAGAAGGCAGGAATAATCACAGGTTCAAGAAAAAGCAGGACAACAGTATCAAAAAAAACAACACACACACACACATATACACACACACACACTTGTGAAAACACATACACTTTTCTTCTATTTAGCCTTTTATAATAAATAGCATGAGAAGGCACTGAGAACCTTGATACTAATTGTCTTTTAATGACTTTATTGAGGAGACACACATCTTGACCACTTACGCTGACTTTATCTGTGGAATGTGATACTCCATGATTTTTTTCCTAAGGAAATAACTGCACAGATTTCGACCATTCTGCATGAATTTTCCCACAAACAATAAAAAGACAACATGAGACTGTACTAGTTATTATATATTCATATTTTTGGTGCAGTGGGCCAAATATTTCTATCAAAGATTTGCTCACTTTTTTTTTTTTTTTTTTTTTTTGGTTTTACGAGACAGGGTTTCTCTGTATTGTTTTGGAGGCTGTCGGTCCAGCCTGGCCTCGAACTCACAGAGATCCACCTGCCTCTGCCTCCTGAGTGCTGGGATTAAAGGCATGCGCCACCACCGCCCGGCTCTTTAAAATGTGTAGCCTAGGCTGGCCTTGAACTCGAGATCCTCCTGCCTCTGCCTCCTTCAGCAAATCCTACCGGTGTGCGCCACCACAACGGGTGATTTGCTCACTTTTGTGGGATGTGAGAAATAACAAAGAAAC